TATACTACATATATCTTGTTTATACAAATATCTTTTCTATATGTTGAAATCCCAACACTTGAGGGACATTATATAAATATCATGTCTAGACGTTAAAATCCCAACACTTGAAAGACATAATACATATATCTTGTTTATATGTTGAAATCCCAACACTTGAGGGTCATTATAGAAATATATTGTCTACACATTAAAATCCCAACACTTGAGAGACATAATACATATCTTGTATTACATATCTTGTTTATATGTTGAAATCCCAACACTTGAGGGACATTATCAGAAATGTCATGTCTAGACGTTAAAATCCCAACACTTGAGAGATATAAAACATATATCTTGTTTATATGTTGAAATCCCAACACTTGAGGGACATTATAGAAATATATTGTCTGGACATTAAAATCCCAAGACTTGATAGACGTAACACATATATCATGTGTATGTGTTGAAATCCCAACACTTGAGAGACATATTACATATATCTTGTGTCTGTGTTGAAATCCCAACACTTGAGAGATATAATACATATATATTGTCTATATGTTGAAATCCCAACACTTGAGGGTCATTATAAAAAAATCTTGTGTAGACGTTAAAATGCCAACACTTGAGATACATAATACATATAGCGTGTCTATATGTTGAAATCCCAACATTTGAGACTCAATATACATATATCTTGTTTATATGTTAAAATCCCAACACTTGAGGGACATTATATAAATATCATGTCTAGACGTTAAAATCCCAACACTTGAAAGACATAATACATACATCTTGTTTATATGTTGAAATCCCAACACTTGAAAGACATAATACATACATCTTGTTTATATGTTGAAATCCCAACACTTGAAGGTCATTATAGAAATATATTGTCTACACATTAAAATCCCAACACTTGAGAGACATAATGTATTTATCTTGTTTATATGTTGAAATCCCAACACTTGAGGGACATTATAGAAGTATCATGTCTAGATGTTAAAATCCCAACACTTGAAATGTATAATACATATATCTTGTTTATATGTTGAAATCTCGACACTTGAGAGAGATAATACATATATCATGTCTATATGTCTAAATCCCAACATTTGAGACTCATTATACATATATCTTGTCTACATGTTGAAATCCCAACACTTGAGGGTCATTATTGAAAGATTTTTTCTAGACGTTAAAATCCCAACACTTGAGAGACATTATACATATATCTTGTCTATATGTTAAAATCCCAACACTTGAGAGACATAATACATACATCTTGTCTATTTGTTGAAATCCCAACACTTGAGGGTCATTATAGAAATATCTTGTCTACACATTAAAATCCCAACACTTGAGAGACATAATACATATATCTTGTTTATATGTTGAAATCCCAACACTTGAGGGACATTATAGAAATATCTTGTCCGGACGTTAAAAGTCCAAGACTTGATAGACGTAATACATAGCATGTGTATGTGTTGAAATCCCAACACTTGAGAGACATATTACATATATCTTGTGTCTGTGTTGAAATCCCAACACTTGAGAGACATAATACATACATCTTGTCTATATGTTGAAATCCCAACACTTGAGGGACATTATAGAAATATCATGTCTAGACGTTAAAATCCCAAACATTGAGAGATATACTACATATATCTTGTTTATACAAATATCTTTTCTATATGTTGAAATCCCAACACTTCAGAGACCTCATACATATATCGTTTCAATATGTTTAAATCTTAACACTTGAGAGACATTATACATATATCTTGTCTACATGTTGAAATCCCAACATTTGAAGGTCATTATAGAAATATCTTGTCTACATGTTAAAATCCCAACACTTGAGAGACATAATACATCTTGTCTTTATGTTGAAATCCCAGCATTTGAGAACACTAAATGAGTCATTATAGACGTTTTTACAAGATATATATGTTTGTTCAGCAAAATAAAATGTAAATATAAATGTTAGTATTTAATTATACTTCGTTTCTAATAGATTATTTACAACTGTATCGCCAGTGTTATTTTACTTTATGCTTTTTTGTCCGTTTACTTTCTTTATCGTCCGCGAGTGTCCTATACTGTATATGCACGTAAGAATAGTTTTAGATGAAGACGTAAAAAGTCTAACTACCCTTACCATTTATTGCAATATCTATACGAAGAAAGTTATTTTTGAAGGATAATGGAGTAACAAACATGAATTATCATATAAAATATAAATGTATCTATAATAAAACGTAATAAAAGTGACATAAAATTCAATCTTTTTTTAATTCTTTCAAAGCACTATTAACTAAATTTATCAGATTTCCATTATCACGGATTTTAATTGTAAATTAAAACACGTGCCATTATATCCAATTATTATCAAGCTACCATCGCCAAATTAACCATCTGCTATTTATATCGTCCGTGTTTCGCTCTTTCTCTATAATTATTGTGAGCGTTTAGACTGTGCCATTGTATACACTCAAGTGTTGGGATATTTTGTTCCTGAAGTGTTAATAGATAGCCAATTCGGTGACTCATGCCTGAGAACCTGAGCACTGCTTTAAAAGGGTTAGTATTTATGTGTTTATTATTATTTGAGGTGATATTCATATGTTTCTATGAATACTTAAAGGTTATTCTTGTGAAATTATGTCAGGGTTCTCCTGAGGTTTGTCAACTTGTTTTTGCATCAACATTGATAAACTGATAAACATATAGATTACCTTTTGTTTGAAGATGTATTGTCTTGCATCATTGACATTTGAAATTTTAAATAGAGATAATTTACAGAAAAAAAACAAAACAAAAAAAAACCCATATATTATACAGTATATGAAATGGAAAATTCATTTATCATTTCAAGGGACAATGTGATTTATATCTTTCTTTATATTTTTAAATGCACAGGAATGATTATAATTGTTGTCTGCTAATAGATTTGTTTGCTTTAAATTTTTGTTGATTGATCCCCATTTTTGTGATATTCTATGATATTTTCACAAGTTGCAACTTTGCAATGCCTACTATTTTATAGTCCTATAACATACAATGTTTCTGTTAGTACTTAGGTACACTCCAGTGTCTTATCGACTTCTTCATAAGGTCCTTTAGCAAAACGCCCAGTGATTTTGAAGCGCTTAAGCCTATATAAACTGTTGTAATTTACTACAAAAACAATATTTTGAGTCAAAAGATATGCAGACAGTAAATTTAAACATTTTTGCATCAATGTGCAGCAAAAAAGATAAATGACTCACCTTCGAATGTAAATAAATCCAATCCAATACAATTTATACCACTTTCACAGCTATATACATTTGGCCATGTTACCTGTATACATGTGGGCGCGTTTTGCTAAAGAAGGTTATGAAGAAGTTGATAAGACGTTGGAGTGTACATAGTACTAACGGAAACGTCTTATGTTATAGGACTAACTATTTTATAGTCACTTTGCATTTAATTTCATAAAATATTAATTATTTTAGTTTCTTTTATGGTTTAAATCTCATAGTTGCTACAGATACATAACTTACTCATAGGCCACAAGTCATCAAGAGTTTGTATGGTTGGATATGGTGAACTATGTACTAGTACAGTTACACCTTGTGTTGGCTTAAGATACAATATAGTTTGTTAAACATTGGTCATAGAATGTCACAATATCATAAATTGCATAATGGATAGGAAGAGTCCACTAGGTTAACTATGTGACATCGTGAAAAAATATGGAATATCACAGTCTATGAATGTCTTATAAGAATTGTTATAGGTTAAAACAGTTTAATAGTAGACTTACATGGATCAGTATGTAAAAACGGTTCAATTAGTAAGAAATATACAATAGTTGTTTCATCTTTGGTCAACTTTTTGTAGTTCTCCGAAACTACTTGATAGAATTCAACAAGACTTTATGGGAAGCATCAATACCAAGGGGAGATGCGCATGTGGTCATCTTGTTCTGGTTCGACCCTGACAATACACAGCCCAATTGATTAGTAATGCAGTATGCATGTAGAGCAATAATTGTTTCCGCGCTACTTCAATGTAACTACTGTCTAGAATTTAAATTTAAAACTTTATGGGAACCATCAATACCAAGAGGAGATGTTTATACCATCGCCTTGTTCTGGTCAAATCCTTCAACCCTTGATTAGTTATGCAGTATGCATATAGAGCAATAATCTTTTCCTTGCTATATCTCTGTAACTACTTGCTGGAATGCAACAAAACTTTATTGGAACCATCAATACCAAGAGGAGATGGGCATATCATCGCCTTGTTTATGTCAGACCCATCAACAAAGAGTTATGGCCCCTGATTAGTTATGTAGTATGCATATAGAGCAATAATGCTATTTCTTTGCAACTGGTGGATTGATTTCAACAAAACCTTGTGGGAACTATCAATATGAAAAGGCAATTTGCATCTCATTAGCATGTCCTGATAATACCATTAAATACAGAGTTATGGCTCTGTTATGGCCTCAAATTTTATCATGTACAAAAAATATTACTCTTTATGCCATGATAAATAAATAAACAAATAAAGCCTTATGTTTCCAGTTGTTGTGTTAGTAATAACCAGTACCTGTCTGGGGATATAAATTCAATGAATTTGCCTATTTATTTATAATTCATTGGCGCCACCATTTTATGTTCAGCTGTTATATCTTTACATTGTGAAAATCATGTGCATGTTTCTGGTCTCGTAATGGGTCAAAATAGAAACTGAGCCACTTTGAAGAACCTGAAAGTGGCCAAATGATTGTCTATTTAAAGGGATGAGAATCTTAATTGGAAAATAACCTTATGACTAGGTTGTGTTTATAGGAACGGGTTCAATAGATTGTTTACGCTATTTTGGCATTTGGTTGTCTTTAAAAAAGGTAAAATTGAAAAAATTTCATATGTCATGGTTTTTTAAAAATTAAATTTTTACTTTTTAAAATTTATATTATTTAATTCTTATTTTTTTTTGGGTTATAGATTAAAATTATGGCAGATCAAATCATTGCACTTTTTTGTTGCCCTACCCCCAGCCGGAAAGGGGTGTTTGTTTTCGGGAAAAAATTTAATCGGCAGGCAATGAAGTTCAAGAGGTTGTTTTTAGACCTGCTGCAAAATATGACGCTGGTACAAAGCTTCAGGTAAAATTGAATTGTCATGGTGCTAGTTTCATATTAATTTTGGCTTCTTTAGACCTTTTGATTTCTTCCATGCATCATTTATACACTTATCTGAAAAGGCATTTATTTGGTGATTATACAAAAATATAAAGATAAAATCAATATTTACACTGCTTTGTTTGATGATAAAGAAAAAAAGAAAAAAAAAGAAAAAAGAAAGCTTTACAGTTATCACAAGAAGAAGCTCTTACCCCATCCCTGTCAAAGAACAATGATAATGTTATTCCATTTGTATCTACTTATAATGCGTCACTACCAAATATTGGTAATATTATACATAAATACAATGTATTGGGATCTGCTTAAATTATCAAAGAGTATATCTGTACAGTATGTTTATCAACATTTTAAGCCTATATTAGCTTATAAGAGAGCTAAAAATATTCAGGACACTTTAACTGGCGCTAATTTTAGCAGCAATCTGAATGTAACTTACTCGTCTACAAATTGTAGTAGACGCAGGTGTTCTCACTGCAAAAATATTAAAGTTGGCTCTTCATTTAGTAGTCATATTACAGGTAATACTTATAGTCTACATAAAAATACTGACTGTAAAACTAGTAATGTCATTTACCTCATTTCTTGTAAAAAGTGTCACATTCAATATGTGGGTCAAACTATGCAGCCTGTTTCTAAACGCATGAATAGCCATAGGTTCGATATAAATAACTTTGTTGACAATGATTTTTCTACCAGTGTAGCTATCCATTTTAATTCTGAAGATCATAACTTAAATGACTTTTCTTTCATGCCTATAGATATTGTTGAAAATAACATGGAACGTTTGTGTAAAGAAACTTACTGGATCCATAAGTTAAAAACACTTAACCCATATGGTTTAAATACTAAGGTTATATTTTAAATTGATCTGTATAAAATGTGTGTACTTTTTATCTTGACAGTTAAATACCATGCTAGACACGTATTCGTTTTTTCCTATTTTTGTTTTTTATATATTTGCTATAGGAAATCCTTGTATTACTTTAATCCGTTTACGTGTCGGCATTATTTTATATGTACATGTATGTTACGTTATCTTGATTAACGTAACGTCATTTTTCCGCCAACGTATGTTACGCTATAATTATTACGTCATTATTATTATTATCCTGATGAAGGTGTTGTTCACCGAAAAGCGTAATAAAGATATAATAATATTTTGAAAAACTGTATGTGTTGTTGTTGTTTAAACGTTGTTTTATTTTCGATGATAAAGGAAACCAAAGCGTTTTTCTGTCTCTTGTTTGATGCCCTAAGCATACAAATGTAATTCTTTGTAATATTTAAACAAAGATTCATTTTCATTTATTCTTACATTTGTATACACAACAGTGTACCTATATTGAGATTGAGCAGGCAGCCAGCACATATGCAGTGATACTGAGCAAGCCGTCGTGGATGTGGGGCGCAGAAATGGGGGCCAATGAAAAGGGTGTGTGTATAGGAAATGAAGCTGTCTGGACCAAATTGAATAGCGAAGATGACCTTGTAGAAAGATTACTGGGCATGGATTTGTTAAGGTTTGTTTTTTTATTTGCCTGCAAGTATTATGGTATGGCTTTGTTGTTTCATTTTCTGCACAATAAAATTATTTTGCTTCATACAGTACATATATTTGGTATGTAAGTACAAATGTGATATCAAAGAGAAACATTCGCTAAACACAAAAAATATCGAAAATATGAAAACCTGTTCTGTTGAGGTTGTTATATTGGTAAGTATATGATATCAATGAACAAGTAAAGTACAATACGAATTAAAATTAACAAGTATTTGATAGAGTTATTGCCCTTTTATGGTAAATTGTTTATGAAATGAAATAAAGGTTTATACCCAATTGTTTTTGGAGATTTCACATGATGAGCGAATGTTTAAATTTTAGATTGTTAAGTATGATATGATATACAACAAGAAGTTCAATCGGAATGTAATTAGCATTATAGCATAAAATCGGCTATTTTCCCCTCTTTTGCCCATGTTTTAACGGGGCCAAAACCATGCGTTAACATAGTCACGCGCTCTTGTTATAGCCCGGTTTTACCTATGCGCAATACATACAGGGCCCAGAAAACAAACAAAAAATGACGATTTGGCCTGTTTGCCAGAGTCATGCGCTCTTGTTATATTGGAATTATTAATTCGAGGGCCTCAGTCGAATAACGGCGAGCAGCATTCAAGTAATTATGCCGGCAATACGGCGTATAGACATCGCCGCTTATCTTGGTTGTCGCTCTTTCTTAGAAACGGACGGTTGTCAATGTAAACAAAAAGAATCTGTCATTCAGTTTAATCCCCCGATTAACTTACAAAAATGGAAAGCACAAAATGAATATAAGAAAACGTTGTTTTATTGACGTTTATATTGATAAATGTTCTGTATGTTTCTTTGAGAGAATAATGTTTTATGCCTGATTTTTTTTAAACTCATGCTTAAAAAAACGATTCTGAAATTGAATTTGATGTCACTGATCTTTTTCCTACCGCCAATCTGTAATCATTCTAGGAAATTCTGAGGCGCCTGTTTTTACTTTGGTAGAGTAATGTTATGTTTTTCTTAAGTTAATATATCTCCAAAGTTAAACTTTGTTAAATCAATTAAAATTCGAAATTTCGTTCGGTTCTCAAGTTGTTGGCCCCGGAAAAAATAAAACGCATACGTAAAACATGTAGAAATGGATAAATACCGTTCAAGCACAAGGATTTAATGTTTGTGTTTTATATATAATATACATCATGAATCTGTTTTAAAATTTTATGCTATAATAGCGTCAAGGCATGTTTATTTCGTGATGTAACGTCTGCAGAGTCCCTCGGAACTGTTGGAGCCCTCGCCCTACCGGGCTCGGGCACCAACCGTTCCTCGGGACTCTGCAGATGTTATAACACGGAAAAACGTGCGTTAACCCTATAAAATGATTATTTACTACACTCAGTACAGATCAGATTAACATGAATTTTTTTAAATGATTTCACTTTCAAAATCTTGTTTCAACAACTGTACTGTTTAATTAAAGATGAGGATTAAAGAAGGGCATGTGATGAAATGAGAATTAATTAAGTATGTTTGTTTGATGATATTTTATAAATAATTAATTCATATAAAGGTATATGCACTACAAATCAAATAGACTAATTTCACATGAAAATGTTTCAGGTTAGGTTTAGAAAGGGGAGGTAATGCTCGTGAAAGTGTTGATGCGATTACCTCCCATTTAGAGAAGTATGGTCAGGGTGGTGCCTGTGTTGAGGGAGGAGACTGGTCGTACCACAATAGTTTTATCATCGCAGACAGTAATGAAGCCTGGGTACTGGAGACTGTATGCCAGTACTGGGTGGCGGAGAAAATTACTGGTTTGTGAACATTAGATATTGAGTGACAAAATGTTTTTAGTTTTTATGCCCGCCTTCAAAGAAGTGGGGGTATATTGCTTTGCAATTGTCTGTCTGTCTGCCGGTCTGTAGACCAAATGGTTTCCGATCAATAACTCAAGAATAACTCACTTGGGCCTAAAAACATATATTATGCATATATTATTTGGTAAGATTTGTGGTAATTTTTTCATAACATTGCTGCACACAACCTTTACGGTTACTAGACATGACCAGTAGATAACCCCTATTGATTTGTTGGTCACTCAGTCAAAAGTCAGTCACAATAACCTGACCACATGACTAATTGGCTGCCGATATGGGCATACATGTTTTACAAACAAATCTTGTTCTTGCAATTTTGTAGGGAATGCCATAGTGTAATTTGATTTTTTCAAAAATTGCATTTTGAAATGATCTGATAGGCTGATGTACACCTATACTTGATGTCGCATTGAAAAATATTAATGTCAAAAGTTGTGGTAAATTTGTAGCCTTACCTGAGAACTTGAATATAGGTCAACTGATTACCAGTTCATAACTTGAAAAATGTAGCTCAATGATTATTGACACTTTTTTCTCTGTACCTTTTCAATCCCTGCAACTGTGTAAATCTACAAACACCTTTATTTTTCTGTTGTTTGGTGTTATAATGATTAACCTTTCAAGCATATTAAAATAAAAATGTTATTAATGACTTGTAAAGCTTTGTTCTTTGTTGTCATTTTTTTCATATTAAACATTCTCTGTATTGCTGTATTTAATATGTATTGTAATATATCCAAGTATTTGCTTGGCCATATTGCTGCAACCCTATTGTAACAGTTGAGAATTTAGAGCAGGAAATTTAAAATCCATTCCTCAAATTTAACTGTGTACGGGACAAACATCAACTTTAATATTTCACAAATTTATAATTTCAGAAGGTGTACGGAACATTTCCAACCAGCTTACGATAACAACAAAGTTTGACCTATCTTCACCAAACTTGGTGGAGAAAGCCACGGAGGCTGGTCTGTACAAAGAGTCAGATGGACCTTTCAACTTTGCGAGGGTTTTCGATGAATCTTCTCTTGAGACTAAGAATTCTAGATACTGCAATGGCACAAGATTATTGAAAAAATATTCTAGCAATGGTATATATTGTTTAAATTTGTTTTAAAAAATTATTGGAACTTCCATTGTTATAGTTCTGGATGTATATTAAGCATAACTTAGATTGTAAATGTGGTTGACATCGAAATGGAGGTATTTGAGAGATTTTTTAACATGAATATTATGGTGTGAATAAAAGAAAGGATAACATTCACAATTGTCTTGTTGTGTAAAGTTAGAAAGATATTGGTTACCCTTCACCATGTGATTTAAAACCAAACCAAATAAATCATAAACATTTGATATGTTTATTAGCTCACCTGAGCACGAAGTGCTCAAAGGTGAGCTTTTGTTTTACTACAAGTGTGAACTTTTACTTGCTTGCTCTTGAGTTTAATTGCTCAAGAGTATTTCTTTGTTGAAATTTTTCCAATTCCGGAAACATTTAAGAAGTTGATTATGTTTTCTATCTTAATTTAAAGAATATTTAATATCAGACATTTTTTTTTGTGCCAGGAACTTTTGGTGTTGCTGATATGATGAAGATTTTGAGAGACGAGGACAGTGGTATCAACATGGGAGGCGGAACCTGTGGTAGTCAGGTGTCACTGTTGCCTAGCAACACAACTGCCTCCTCCCACACATCACCATGCTGTCATTGGTTCACTGCCACGCCCAGTCCAGATGCCAGTCTGTTCAAGCCATTTATATTTGGCCCAAATCCTAGTGTTGGAAGCCTGGCCGTTTCTCCAGACTACGGGGATAAAGATCCGAGGGTCGTAAAACCGCGATTCCAGTCTAAGGTCGAGAGGCGGCATGAACTTTTTAAAGGTCACGAGAAACTACAATCATTGTTAATACATGATGAGGCGAAGGCAAATAAAATCATACAAAATTTAAAAGATTTAGAGTCCAACTGTATTGAAGATATGGAGGAAATTTTAAAGAACTTTGATGAATCCAGTTTTGCTAAAGTTTCCAATTTATTTGATCATATGTGCAACATAGAACTTAATTTTTACAAAGATGCCTGAGGTGTTTTGTGATAAAAATATCAACTTTCAAAAGTTGTTAAAAAAGAAGTGATATGTTTACTACACATGTAGTTTTCAGTTTTATTTTATTGTAAGAAAATATTAAGATAATGAAGAGTAATATTCTATTTGGTTTTTTTAAACGATAAATATAATTATATGATATTATGATTCTCCTAAAAATGATCCATGTTTTGTGGAAAAAAAACACCTCAAAATGAATTTTGTCTGTTAAATCACAATTTTAAAGATATTTATTATAATGGCATGAAACTTAATGAGATTGATTTTTACTTTAATCTTGAACTAAATGATACATTAATAGCCACTAACAGTCGGAGACATTCACATTGAAATTTGAAAGCAATTAGGGCTCTAGTGACTAAATGTCATTTACACTTGTAAATTTGGATTTTTAAATGTTTGCTTGCTGAACTTGTGCTAATTTTGACCACTGCACTAAATAACTATTAGATATCACTAAATACTCATCATAATCAGAATTATCATAACCAGAATTATCAAGATATATTTTCACTTTGAGTTGCATATATCAATAACTAATTCAGTGGGCATATAAATAGTTTGTCTCCACAACATTCCTATAGAAATCCCTGCATGTCAACTGGCAAATAACTTTGATGATTATTATTTATTATATGATTGTTTGTATATACCCTGTACCTTGCATTTGTCAGTAATTACCATTAAATGGACTTAATTTTACTGTAATCACTATGTTAACTATAATAGTGTACTACGTCTAATATACAATGTCTAACATACTCTGTGTAGTGTAGTATGTCTAATAGACTATTGCTAACATACTATGCTTTGTGTAGTATTATGTCTAACATGCTACCTAATACAATACTTTGTCAAACATACTATGTTTGATGTATTTATATCTAAAATATACTATGTCTAATAATTTATTGTGTCTAACATGCTATGTCTATTATAGTATTATGTGTAATATACTAAGCATAGTGTAGTTATATCTTAAATATAATGTGTCTAACATACTATTTCCAGTATAGTTGTATCTCTAATATATCTTTGATACTATGCTTAATGTAGTTATACCTGAGAAATTGTTATATTGTAATACTATTTCTAACAATTATGTCTAGTGGAGTAATATAACATACTTATTATGTCAAACACAATACTTCAACTGTTATACATTAACTGTTATATTATGTCTAAAATTCTATGTTAAAAATTTAAAACAGATTAATAGTAAACAATGAAATTTAGTAGCTGTAGTAGATATATATATACATGTACATGTAGTTATGACTATCTGATATTTTTGTATTGTAACTGGCTTATATTTGTTGTGAGAATTATTAAGTTATATATAACAGACCTAGATAGACATATTTCATTAGATAAGTCCTTTGATTATGATTTTTTGCTGGGTGAACTTAGAACAATATTATTAATGTGTAGTGATAAAGTACTAAATGTGTCTTAAATTATAGAAGCAGAAATTAAGGAATTATAGAAGCAAAGCATTAATCTATCTAGTCAAGTGATATGATCAAAATATTGTTTACTGTATTAAATAATTACGATAAAAGTGAATACATTTGTTTTTATCACATACCCATGCTGATTTTGCGACATCGTAAAAATGGTATTGCACAGTCATGCATATATTTTGAAGTGATTTTATTGGCGTTATACAAACATTGCATAAATACGTGCTAAAAGTTAGCATAAAAATATAGGCGTGTCAATGAAAAATTATTCTTTTGTACTTAAAACAGTATTTATTTTGGGTATGTGATAAATGGAATATTATATTCGTGTAGGTTCATTACTGAATTGTCTTTCAGGGAACAAATAGTTAATAATGATGAGAGCAAACTGATCTAGCTTGTTATGTAGTGAAAGGTATGTCTTTCCGACTTTGAAACAGACATTTTTTATGCCACTGCAGCATCTGCGATGTGGTAGCATATAGCGATTCACCTGTGTGAGTTTGTTTGCGTGTGTGTTATATATATTATATAGTGAACTTAAAAAATCTTCTTGTGAAAAACCACTAGTCCAATTTCAACCAAACTTGGCTGGATTGATCCTTGGGTGAAGGGCTTCCAAAGTTGTTCAAAGAATTTCATTCCATGCAGAAATCTGGGGGTCATTTATTTTCACTATATGTACATATAGTAAAAACTTAAAATACCTTCTTGTAAAGACTCAAAAGGCCTAGAGCTTAGATATTTTGCATAAGGCATTGTCTGGTAGACCTCTACCCAGATTGTTCAAATTATAGCCCTGGGGTCAAAATTGGCCCCGCCCAGGGGGTCATTGGTTTTCCTTGTATGTATATAATAAAAACTTATAGTAAAAACTCTTCTAGCAATTGACAAATGCTAGAGGTTAGATATTTTGCATGAAACATTGTTAGTGAACCTCTAGCATTATTGTTTAAATTATAGCCCTTCGGTCAAAATTGCCCCGCCCCGGGGGTCATTGATTTTCAATATATACATAAAGTAAAAAATCAAAAAATCTTATTGTCTGAAGGTACAAGGCTTAGAGCTTTAATATTTGTTAAATGATATCATCTATAGGTACTCTACCAAAGTTGTTCAAATTTTGCCTCTAGTGTCAAAATTAGCCCCGCCCCAGGGGCCATAGGTTTTCCTTATATGTATTTAGTAAAAACTTAAAAAATCATCTTCTCTAAATTTACAAAGGCTAGAGTTAAGATATTTTGCATGAAACATTGTGTAGTGAACCTCTAGAAAGATTGTACAAATTATAGCCCTGGGGTCAAAATTGGCCCCACCTCCAGGGGTCATTGATTTTTCTATGTACATATAGTAAAAAATATTAAAAATCTTCTTGTCTGAAGGTACAAGGCTTAGAGCTTTGATATTTGGTATATAATATCATCTATGGGTCCTCTACTAAAGCTGTTTTAATGATGCCCCTAGTGTTAAAATTGCCCTGCCCCCAGAGGCCATAGTTTTCCTAATATGTATAAAGTAAAAACTTGAAAAATCTTCTTCTCTGAATTGACAAAGGCTAGAGGTTGAATATATGGCATGAGACTTTGCGAAGTGAACCTCTACCAAGATTATTCAAATTATAGCCCTTCAGTCAAAATTGGTTCCGCCCCGGGGGTCATTGATTTTCATTATGTACATATAGTAAAAAAATAAAAAATATTTTTGTCTGAAGGTACAAGGCATAGAGCTTTGATGTTTGCTATATAATATCATCTATAGGTCCTCTACCAAAGTTGTTCAAATTTTTCCCCTGGTGTCAAAATTGGCCCTGCTGTGATTCTCATTATGTACACATAGTAAAAACAGAAAATAAAACAAATGTTTTCTGACTGGGAGAAAGCTACAGCTTAGATATTTGACTTAAAATGTTGTTTGGTGGACCTGTATCAAGATAGTTTTGAATTAAACCCTTGGGTCAAAATTTTGCCTTGCCCAAGGAAACAGTGACCTACTTTCTTGTCCTTTTGATGTACAGCAATGAAATTTTGACCATGTGCACAGTTTTAGTTGTAAAATTGAACTTTGATATCAGATGACCTAGATTTTGATGATGTGACCTACTTTCTTGTCCTTTGATGTACAGCTATGAAATTTGAACCGTGTGCACAGATTAAGATGTTAAGTGAACTTTGATATCAGCTGACCTAGATTTTGACAAAGTGTCTTACTGTTTTGTCCTTTGATGTAGTCTTGAAATTTAGGCTGTGTGAAATATGACCTTCACCACCAAATTCACCAGACTCGAGTGCATTGATATGTTCCTACTCTGATCTTTTATTGGATTAACAACAGATTTAACCACTAATCTGATAATAAGAATTAGATAGGTCAGGGATGGATGCATTATGACAATCTTCAAAATTGTATAGAAACAAAAAAATCTGTTCCTACACTACTATTTAGTGTTGTATTAATGCGGTGGCATAGCATTTTTCTTAAATGCAATCTTGTTTTTTTTTTCAATCTTTAATCTTATAATGAAGTGAAATGATCAAAATATTGTTTATTGTATTAAATGAATGTGCAATATAAGATTTAGACAATTGTAACTATTTGTTTATACTGATATTTTTTGTTATGCATGTAGATAGTTGTTGTTGTTTTGTTGTAATAAATCAAAGTAAGTTATTTTGAAATTTGTTTTTATACCCCCAAAAACGAAGTTTGGGGGGGGTATATAGGAGTCACCCTGTGGTCAGTCAGTTGATTGGTCGGTCGGTCCAGATGTTGCATTTTCCTTGTCCGGAGCATAACTTGAAGACTAATGGTTGGAATTCAATATAACTTCATACAATGGTCAAACACATTGAGAGGAAGTGCAATGCACAAGAACCATAACTCCGTCATGACTCATTATAGAGTTATTGCCCTTTGTTACTTTTCCTTGTCCGGGGCATACCTTGAAAACTACTGGTTGGAATTTAAAACAACTTCATACAATGGTCAAGCACAATAAGAGGAGGTGCAGAACACAAGAACCATAACTCTCTCTAAAGTAATTACAGAGTTATTACCCTTTGTTATTTTTCCATTGCTTATTTTTGTCCGGAGCATAACTGGAAGACTAATGGTTGGAATTCAATACAACTTAATACAATGATCAAGTACATTGAGAGGAAGTGCATTGCACAAGAACCATAACTCCATCTTGACTTATTACAGAGTTATTGCCCTTTGTTACTTTTCCTTGTCCGAGCATAACTTGAAAACTGCTAGTTGGAATTCAATACAACTTCATACAATCATCAAGCACATTATGAGGAAGTGCAGTGCACAAGAACCCATAACTCTTTCTAGAGTAATTATTGAGTTACTGCCCTTTGTTACTTTTCCATTGCTTTTTCTTGTCCAGAGCATAACTTGAAAAGTACTATTTGGAAGTCAAGACAATTTGATACAATGGTCGAGTATATTGAGAGGAAGCACAGTGCACAGAATAATAACTCTTTCTTTACTCATTTAAGAGTTTTTGCCCTTCGTTACTTTTTAATGTCCAGTGTATAACTTGAAAATTAATGTTTGGAATTCAATGAAACTTCATACAATGGTCAAGGGCAGTGAGATGAAGTGCTGTGCAGAAGAAGCATAACTCTATTTTGACTCATTACAGTTATTGCCCTTTGTTACTTTTTGTCCAGTGCATAACTTGAAAACTAGTAGTTGGAATTCAATACAACTTCATACAATGGTCAAGCGAAATGAGAGGAAGTGCAGTGTACAATAACCATAACTCCATTCAGTATTTGTAGAGTTATTGCCCTTTGTTCCTTTTCCGGTGCATAACTTAAAACTAATGTTTCGAATTCAATGCAACTTCATACAATGGTCAAGCGCAACAAGAGGAAGTGCAGTGCTCAAGAAGTGTAACTCTTTCAGGATTTATTACAGAGTAATTCAATAAAACATTTATCAATGGTCAACCATATTGTAAGGAAATGCAACATACAAAAACCACAACTATCTTTAATTAACTCTATTTAAATTCTTTAACAAGGTATTCTGTTACATGTAACTTCCTCATTTCTGAAGCATTCTTGCGGGGGTATAAATCACATTTAGTGAAAGTTCTAGTTTTCTTTATAAAGGAATGACACTTAATTTTCAATAGGAAAATTCACCTATATTTTGTTAAATTAGATTAGAAGGTACATCCCTCTTCATTAGCCACTTACTATTCCACAGATTAGAAGGTACATCCCTCTTAGTTAGCCACTTCCTATCCCACTGATAAGAAGGTACATCCTTCTTAGTTAGCCACTTCCTATCCCACTGATCAGAAGGTACATCCCTCTAAGTTAGCCACTTCCCTATCCCACTGATTAGAAGGTACATCCCTCTTAGTAAGCCACTTCCTACCCCACTGATAAGAAGGTACATCCCTCATCCACTTCCTATCCCACTGATAAGAAGGTACATCCCTCTTAGTTATCCACTTCCTATCCCACTGATTAGAAGTTACATCCCTCTTAGTTAGCCACTTCCCTATCCCACCGATTAGAAGGTACATCCCTCATCCACTTCCTATCCCACTGATTAGAAGAAACATCCCTCATAGTTATCCACTTCCTATCCCACTGATTAGAAGTTACATCCCTCTTAGTTAGCCACTTCCCTATCCCACCGATTAGAAGGTACATCCCTCTTAGTTAGCCACTTCCTATCCCACTGATTAGAAGGTACATCCCTCTTAGTTAGCCACTTCCTATCCCACTGATTAGAAGGTACATCCCTCTTAGTTAGCCACTTCCTATCCCACTGATAAGAAGGTACATCCCTCTTAGTTAGCCACTTCTTATCCCACTGATTAGAAAGTACATCCCTATTAGTTAGCCACTTCCTATCCCACTGATCAGAAGGTACATCCCTCTTAGTTAGCCACTACCTGTCCCACTGATTAGAAGGTACGACCATCTTAGTTAGCCACTTTCTATCCCACTGATCAGAAGGTACATCCCTCTAAGTTAGCCACTTCCCTATCCCACTGATTAGAAGGTACATCCCTCTTAGTAAGCCACTTCCTACCCCACTGATTAGAAGGTACATCCCTCATCCACTTCCTATCCCACTGACAAGAAGGTACATCCCTCTTAGTTAGCCACTTCCTATCCCACTGATTAGAAAGTACATCCCTATTAGTTAACCACTTCCTATCCCACTGATTAGAAGGTACATCCCTCTTAGTTAGCCACTTCCTACCCCACTGATTAGAAAATACATCCCTCATCCACTTCCTATCCCACTGATTTGAAGGTACATCCCTCTTAGTTAGCCACTCCCCTATCCCACTGATTAGAAGGTACATCCCTCTTAGTTAGCCACTTCCCTATCCCACTGATAAGAAGATACACTCCCCTCACCTGGCTACTTCTAACCCCTACCCCCAGCTCTCGTGATACAGGAAAAAAGGTAAGTCCCCCATCTTACGTAGCCACTGCCTGATGCAGAAGAGTAGGTACATGTACATACCTATCTTTCTAAGCGGCAGAGCCACTCCTTATTGCACAAAATTGGCATATCCTTCCCTTCCTTAGCCACTTGTTCCCACATTATGTGGTGACTGTAAAAGCAAAATAACAACAAATACATGTATCTTTAACAACATCTTTTTTTAATAATAACATACAAATATCGCAGAAAAGAATGGTATAAAAGTACAGAAAAGTACGGATATAAATATACATGTAGATCAATAAACGAGGACGGAATGTAGTTCTGTATAAAAATTCTAACCTAAATTATTTTATCAATATTAACTGAAATCTGTACCTCTAAAGTAATAAAAACAAAACCTGTAATATTTCTCTAATAAGTCATGATTTGCATGTTTGTGTTTCCCTAATTGAGCCTCCAAATAATCATTATCCCTTATTGAGCCTCTCAAAAATTCTACTACTGACCAATTGGGAAAAAAATGAAAAAAATTGCTCATACCGAGACTTTTCTAAATTAATTATTTCTACAACATATTCACATGCATAAAAAAATGGATTCCAATTTACATGTTATATAAGCCTAAGGTATCAATTCTGACCTTAGAAAAAGTATACAGAAAAATTCAAAGAAGGCAGAGTTAAAGAAAAAAATCCCTTTCCCCTGAAAATAAAACAACACACGTTTTATATACATAACAAGTGTAATAGAAAAACATGAAAAAATACAATCAATATGAATCAATACTTCTGTAATTTATGACAAAAATGATAAATTATATCTTCGAAATTTGAATTAAAATGAAGAACAGTTATATAAAGTGTATAAAGCAATATACCGTATGTGCTGCACTGGGGTCGGTACTCTCCAGTGTCTCAAAGAGCGGATGGATTCTTATTTAGCCTGGAACACGTATGCTGCCTTAAATTTACCAGATTTGTCTGAATAAAAAAAAAATGTTTCAATACCTGTATCATAATGGCAGAATATTAATCTATTTCAGTAAGAGCTAATGATGTGTACACGAAAGTATTTCTAAACAGTTGAAACCCTTCTTAAAATAGCAGCACAATTTTTTTTTCAGAACATTTTAATCTGTTAATAGATTCTATACAAAATTACAAAATTCATGGTGGTTATGACATTACTTGTTGCAACTTTTACATAAATCGACAATCGATGTATGGAAACTATTTTTTTTTTTTCAGTCAATGAATTCAGTAAATATTTTTCATCAGATATAGCTTTATACACTTTATAACAACCAAAGAAATTAAAATTGTGCATAGAAAAGTCTTCAATTAAATAGATGTGCATTTTATTGTCAAACATTTTGAAAAATAAAACAAGAGGGAAAATATGTAAACATTTCGTAATAAAAAATATCTGCGATGAATACCGGCATGTGAATGATTGAATATTCTTTTTAAATATAAAAGTGCATTACCCAAGAGTTTGACTTCATCAACAAATGCAAAAAAAGAAATTATGTTTCTTTGATCTTGTTATTTTCTTCACATGATTCATCTCTAATCTATATGTACAGGCTTGTCTATGAGACAAAAGTTGGTGTACAGAATTATGCAAAGAAAGAAAACGATAACAATATTAAATGGTTACATTCTCTCAAATATTGAGGTAAGACACTGGTTATTTTGTAAAATCAAATACAAACAAAAAATACATGAAAAGAAAAGTTACGTATAAACTTACATATATCAAATGACAACAAACTTGTTCCCTATAATATATGAATATCACAGATACCTTTAATAGATTACACAATATATATATACCTTCTAAAATCTAATTCTGCTGGTTTAAAAAATGAAATTTTCTATCTTCTTCCTAGGAAATATTCCCATATGTGACAAGAATAAAGTTCTTCTTACAATATTATTATTATTCATTCAATATTTAAGGCTGGTCAAATAGTTGAGGGAAAAATTTAACTTTAAGTCAAATAGTCCACTTGCCTAGCTGTCCTGTACAAAATTACACTAAGTCAAAATGTCCAATGGAAAAATAGCCAAGAGCACCCATCTTGGTTAACAGGCTTAAAAATGAGCAAAGATTAAGTTATTTTCTTTCATTTTTTTTTCATTATTATTAAAAATAGAATGCAAATAAGAACAATTTGTATCTCATAATGCTATATGACTTTTCTGATAAAGGTCACACATAACCTTAATAATTTATATAACCTCATAAGAGAGGTCACAGTTTTAGAAAAATACAAAAAAATATCTATAAATAGTAACATTAACAAAAGACAGTAGGACGGATTTTACAAGTAAAACAAACAACATCACACAGTGATATATATAACAGGCCACAATTTGCCAGAAATCAGAAATGTACGAGACAAAGACCAGCTTTGTGCTATTGAGATTGACACTTGAGATATTGAAAAAAAATGTTAACATAATTCATGTAATTATGTTACATCAACAAAGAAATCTTTCATTTAATACAAATACTTTTTTGAATTTCTTATTTTGTGTGTAACCTTTATCATTATCTAACAGGTAAAGGTGGAGCAGAATTTCTTAATGGTATTATTAGGTGCAAAAGTTTTTTGTCACAAAAATAAAATTTCATTTATAAAAAGATGAAAATAATATAGTACAATGTAGTAATATTTAGATAAACTACGCAAAAATGCATGTGCAAAACTAAATAAAGTAAAATTTAAAAGAAAAATACATTTATTTGTAGGTTAATTCTGCACTGCAGTTAGTAAAGCATTTATTTTTTTAACAATTTTAGTAAAATGTTTACTTTTCTAACAATTAAATGGCAAGTAAGTATACTATATTATGATACGCTCAACACCAATTAAATTTTGGTACAGTTCCATAACAAATGCTGTTGTAGTTATTGTCAACATATCACAGTTAGAAACAAATAAAAAAAAACTTTCCAAAAAAAAACTCTTGGTGAAAAAGAACCTCCAAACCAATTATGCTTGGATCTATATACTTTGTAGATTCACATATATTTTCATGTTTTATCTATAAAAAACCTTTACAAATTTTATTAGTATGTATAAAAAATAAATATGAATAAATTTTGATTGTCTGAATTAACCAAAGGAAAAAAATGCCTTTTCAAAAATGTATACATGTACATATGCAAATGAAATATACAAATAACCTGCATAGTGTGTATAAAAAGTTTTTCAGTTGATTTTTCTCTGAGAATGTCTCTTATTTCATCTACCAGTGAAAAGTTTCTTTGGAAATATACCCTACTAATGCATCTACTACTGGCTTAAACACTAAGAGTATTACACAATATGTATTGCATTTCAATACTAACCTATTATAGATAATCAATTTGATTTTTCCTCGCTGAATTCAAGTTAATTGAAGCATTCCCAAATATTGTAGTTATAAGTTTTTATATGTGTATATAATAAAGTTCAACTTCAGCTGTAATTTGGTTTCACATTGCAGATCAATATCATATATAAATGTTTTTTAATCAAAGCAGAGTTGTCAACAGTATGGTAGAGAGTTTTTGTATTTCTACTGTATGGTACAGGCTTTTGAGCCATCAGCTTCACCCCCTCCCCCTCCTTGAATAGTCGCCGGAGTTTGAACAGGGCGCCCTGGTGGTACACGTCCTGCTAGCAGGGCTTCAACATCCTCCATCTAGAACAAGAGAGTAATAAGGTACAAAAACAGGGAAAAGTAAAGCTTAGAAAGTAAAGAAATAAAAACCATATCATAAATTGACGGCAGCCATGTATATATCAAGAAGATATCAAAATGATTATCCAATGAATAGCTATGTTACAAACATGCAGTATCATAATGTATAGAGGATATTTGTTTAGTTCAGTGTAAGTTCGGAATATATTTCTACGATTGAGCACAAAAAGGTAAATTTCACGAGTGACACAGCCACATGTGAAATATGAACTTTTGGTGCTAGCGACTAAAATATATTTCAATCTAACACTAAACTTAACAAATTTTCTTTTTATTTTATGCAAAGAAACGTTTCAAAAACATTTTAACCTAATACTAAATGAAAATCATGCCAAACAATAATACAATGTTACATCATTTACAACAATATGTCATAAAGTTGGTTTCAAGTACTATACATGCTGGTATTTCACTGAAACAATGTTATGGGCTTAAATTCAAACAGTGAAAAAATCAAATTAATAATTTCACTGTTTCAAACAGTGAAATAATCAGTTTTATATTTCACTGATATATTTCTATAAACCATTAAAAAGCATGTAATAAAGAAATGTAGTCAAAAACACTATAAGAACACATACCCTCATTGCATCATGTCCCATTGCCTTCCTCTTCTTCAGGTAGTCATTGATACTAGTCTGTTATGAAATAAAATCAAATAAGATCAAATATATAAAATGTGAACCACACATTGAGCTACTCTTTGTTCATTTCGGAATTCAATATTTTCATAGCAAAAGTAGCAAAATATTTCAGACTTTACTGTATGAGAACTATATAATAGGCCAAAATTGGCTACCCAATTAGTTAAGACCAATAAATTTTCTGAATGACCAGTCTCAATACTGGCAGTCGCTAAATTTCACGGATTCTAATAAATTTCATAATTTGATTCCATATGCAAATTGAAAATGGAAAGGCCTAATGTTTTAAAATTCATAGAGTATAAATGATCATTTTGAAAATTTTCATATTAATTTTTGTTATCTAGTCTATCTCTTTAGACACCAGTTTTGATAAAGTCAAAGTATACATAATAGAACTATACTGAAACAAAAAAGAAACTTTCGTCAAGATGTTAGTACAGTTTCTCAATCTTTTGAAACTCGATTTTTACGTTGAATAAACATATCGGGCTTTTATACCGGGATTAGCTGACCGATTTTGCAAACAAAACGAGTTTTACAAGCTACTACATGTATATAAGTGTGTACATCTAAGTGGTACCCTTGAACAACTGGCACATACTTTGCGAAAGTTTCTTTTTTTGTTCAGTATATTAAAATACATTTTGTAGAATATAAAAGTTAAGTTAAATATACCAGTTTTTTGTCTGATTCAGCAGCTTGTTTCTTGTACATATTTGCCTCTTCTTTTGCTTTATTATCACCAATTGGGGGTAATGGAGCTCCAGCGTTGCCATTGGATACACCACCTTTCTTATCTCCCTTGTCTTTAGCCTTTGGTGCAACCTGAGAGGTAAACAGTTTTTCTATATCATAAACACATCATATTTATTGATCACATGACTTTACTTGTTCTCAAAGTAATCTTATAAGTCGTTGCATATAATTTTATATTTCATATCCTTTTATCTCAGTGTAATGTTAAAAGTCATTAAATCTTTCTTTATATTCAATACTCTTATATTACTAATCATAAGACATCATTACAGTATGTGACTGTACAAATATTGTCCAGTATTTGTAAATACATGTGAATACAAAGTAACAAGCTGAAATAACATATACAACTTGCTTGAAGGTTTGACTAATATTGTTTTTAGCCAGGTATAAATACTCTTCAAAATATATAAAATATATATGGTTCTAGGAACATATTTGCCGGTGTGTCTATAAGCTTAGCTTAAAGCTTCCTACACAATCAAACTCAAATAAATTCAGTATAAAGCACATGTATAAACTTAACAATTTTGAATGACTGATAATTTGCATACATTCAATAGGATTCAAGCCTCTAAATAATAAGGTAAAGTTGGACAAAATACAAAAACAACAACATATTGTTGATACATTAGCAATCTCTATGAACATGAAATTATGGGGTTTCCTTGAAAAAACAAGTGTGCTTAAGGGCACAAAAAATATCAAGGGAAAAACTAACACATCTAATAAGTCAAAGTTTAATCTCCCAATTCTAATCTTAAATCTCTTGTCAGATGAAAGGAAAAGCATCCAAATAATCAACTTACTACAGTTTTTTCCCTGCCCATTCTGTCTTTCTGCCTTCCCCAGACTTCAATGTAAAGAGATTCAGAGTTCAGATATTCAATGAACTGTTCTGTTGCAGATTTGACTGTGATCTTATTCTCATGTTGGAAGTCTGGGTTGATTGTTCCAGCAATCTCCTTTGTCTGAGTGTAGTCCTTATCCAGGTAAAACTTGTATCTACAGAAACTCTGAAATATATACAAAACCATTTATTAAAGGCTCGTTATTCCTCATAAATGCTTTTATTTTCATTTCTCAAAATATCATTAACTTTGGTGTACACTCATATGCCAATTATCTGAACCATCTTTTTTATCTGTTTCTTTTTGGCAATAAGTACAGTTATAGTGAATTAGTATTTTGTATGGAAGTCAAAATACTGCTTTGTTTACATTTTACAACTTTTACATCAAATTATTTCACATTTATCACTACTTTATTCAGGTAACAAGCATCTCACCTTCTTTAGAACGATTATTTAAACATTATAAAAATTCATTTTTGCCCTTTCTAATGAAGTAAAAATGTATTTGTTTGTGATGCATAATGCGCCTTAAAGATTTCTTCATAAATTTGGACCAAAAACGGCTGGACTTTCTCGTTTTTGCAACAGTGGCTGGACACGTTTCTACAACTCAGTAAGTACTTTAAAAGACATAATGCCACATTTATGAAGTAGTAACATGCTTTAAATGGCATTTTTTCACTAAATTTATAGAATTTGTATTTCAACTTGGATGGATGATGTCATTTTGCAACTTGAATGAATGACTTTAAAAATTTAAATCCTATTATCAGAAACAGTACTAAAGGAGACAAAATAAATCCATATTATACATTAATTATAGATTTCAAAGGAATAAATGAAACTAGAACTGCCACTGACTTGGCGTGAATACCCCCGCATACCACTTTATCAGAATCAACAGTGGCCATTTAGAGCTCAAGGACAACCTCCCTGCCAAACCTGAGGTTAGTAAGCCAGTGCATTGCATTGCTACAAATGTGAAAATGTAAAAATTAATACACTGAGGACCTTAAGCATTTGCTTATTGTAGTAAAAACCCCTGTGACCTTGACCTTTGACACAGTCACTTAAAAATCAATAGAGGTCATCTACTAGTCATAAACAACCTCAATACCAAATATGAAGACTGTTGACCAAAGCCTTCTTAAGCAATTGAGCCAACAAGCTTTGTTAGGTCAAGGTCCCTGTCAACTTTTACCCAGTGACCTCAAAATCAATAGTGGTAATCTAATAATCATAAACAACCTCCATACAAAATATGAAGACTGTAGGTCAAAGGAAACTTAAGTTATTAGGCGGACAAGCTTTTTTCATTAAAGGCCTGTCTTACCTTGACCTTTGACCTGGTGACCTCAAAATCAATAGGGTTGTCTTCTTGTAGTGACAAACCTCCAAGCCAAATATGAAGACTGTGGGTCAAAGGAATCTTAAGTTATTGGGCCGACATGCTTTTTTTTTAGTTAAGACCCCTGTGACTTTGACCTTTGACCCAGTGACCTCAAAATCAATAGGGGTCATCTACTCATCGTGACTAACCTCCATGCCAAATATGAAGATTGTGGGTCAAAGGAATTTTAAGTAATTGGGCGGACAGGCTTTTTCAGTCAAGACCCCTATGACCTTGACCTCAAAATCAATAGGGGTCATCTACTCATCGTGACTAAACTCCATGCCAAATATGAAGACTGTGGGTCAAAGGAATCTTAAGTTATTGGGCGGTAAGACTTTTTTCAGTCAAGGTCCCTGTGACCTTGAACTAAAACAGTGACCTAAAAATCAATAGGGGTCATCTACTCATCATGATTAACCTCCATGCCAAATATAAAGACTGTGGGTTAACCCTTTCCCCCATGAGCATATTGTGAAAAATGGCCGTTTTCACTGAAAAGCCTCCTGTTACAAGTTCAAACTGCTATGAAACTATGAAAAATGCTTCAATACTAATCAAACTTGGCACAAATGTTGACTGGACCATTGCCTTTGTAATGACATGCTCAGTCTTAAATTTCCTGTTACCATGGCAACGAGGGGACATCTCAAAATTGCCAAAAATCACTATTTTGCCTCGATTTTTCCCATCAAAATTTATTTCAAAGTGCTGCAACTGCTCAAGGGATTGAGATAGAGTCAAAGGCTTTTCAGCGTTGGTTAAACGTTACATTATGATCGACCTGGGGTCATTTTTAGCCTCTCACAAGTCCAAAATTTTCTTGGCGATGAGGGGGACTCCGCCCCCCTTCAAACCCCCCTAACAGAAGGGGGCACATCCCCCTTCTGGCAACCCCCTGATGTATCTTTTGGATGGGGGCGGCGCCGAAAAAGTGCTCAATTTTTTAAGCAATATTTCTCAAATGAAAACTTATGTTTGGGGCCCAAATAGGACATTTTTCACTATTTGAGGCCTAATAAAAGGGGGGGTGGAAAGTGCGTTGTTTCGTGTATATATGTGGTAAAGGGTTAAAGGGATCTTAAGTTATTGGGCAGACAAGCTTTTTTTAGTCAAGGCCCCTGTGACCTTGACCTTTGACCATGTGACCTCAAAATCAATAGGGGTCCTCTAAGCACCATGAATAACCTCCATGCCAAATATGAAAACTGTGGGTCAAAGAAATCTTAAGTTATTGGGCGGACAACGAAAAACCGCCAGAGGGCCGGACGGACAACCTGATTCCAGTATACCCCCCTTACAACTTTTTTGTGCGGGGGTATAATAAAATATTTCTATTCAGCAGACAAACTTAAGCAAACTTTTGTTTCTTTTCCTTTCTTTTAACTTCAGTAAAAAACACTTATCAATGGCAAGCTTACATTTATAATTATAATACATAAAGGTATATTAAAAATATCACCTTGTCAATATTTGATGGTAGACCTCTTGCTGATTTTATCACAATCTTACAGTAAACTGGTTTTCCTTTCTGAAAAATAGGAATAAACATTTTTTATATTAAAACATGGAGAGTAAAATGAATACCTTAAACAATTCTAAAAAAAAATCTAAAACTTTTCAAGAAATAAATGTAAGCAAAATATATTTCATCTTGAGTGGTTTCTTTGTTTATTTGTCCATTTTTTACCAGTAATTAAAAGTTTATCCTGCAAGTGATATCAACTGTCACAATATTTTTTTGCCTGATCCTCACACAATGGAAAAACTACAACTTTGAATAGAAAGACAAAATACCATGTTATTTATGTTTTGGTATTTTTATGACAAATTATGACAAATTAAGCGATTCTTTCTTCAAATGATTATGGTCTTACTAGGTCTAAATCCATTATCAAAACATTATGAAACTAAGTTATGCCTTTTCTATATATGAAAATTCATATTAATTTCTAAGGCTTTATGTGCATTTAAACAAATACTTAAAATACCAAGTTACAACAGTTACTGAATAATTCATTGACTGTGCTTAACTTACCAATTCTTTTGGATCTTCTACAAAATCATCCTCTGGGACAGGTGTGAAATCTTTGGTACATGGTACAACAGCGACGTCAAGGTGACCTTGATCGTTACCCTTGTAATCGGAGATAACGAGGTTCTCCTCCAGGTCTATATTGTACGCCATTGACTGCAGCAGGACATGAGTGGTACCAATCAGCTTCTCAACATCGGCTGGTTCCCAAAAAGGATCTTTATCCTAAAAATACACATGTGAATAAATCATCAAAAAAGATTTTTACCTTTTTCAATATCAACCACTTTTTTATACTCATGGTATTTCTGTCATACATATCAACAGTTTAAGTCCTTAACCAGCTGAATTTTTGTAAAGAATTTGCCCAGCTTTGAATTTGATTTTTTATACAGAATTTATTTTAGTTTGTGTAGGAAGCTATAAGCTTATAGACACAACTTTGAATCTGCTCCTAGAACCAACCAGTACTGAGCAATGAGTGTAAAGTTTCTTGCTCAAGGAAACAACGATTTGCCTTTGATGGGGTTTGAACCCATGCCGCGCTAGCGATCATTAGATTACTTGTCTGACACGTTAATCACTCTGCTCTGCCACCACTTATATCTTTGTATTTGGAAAAGTCCATTTAACTTTGAGAGATTACAATGGCAAAATACATAGAATGAGCTACCAACAGTATAATAGACTGGTTAGAAAGCAAGAACATGCAGGTAGCGCTAGCTTTATACTAGTGACAAAGGCTATCTAATTGAAAACTTTGAGAAGTTACAGAATAAATAAAGGCAATATTAAAGCTACAAACCTGTGGGACGTCCCAGTCAGCATCACCCTCCACATAGTTCTGGTACATTTCTTGCATGAGGAACTTCCTGTTTATGAACTTGTTTCTGTCCCACAGCCAATCATTCCCACTGCCATCCAAAGCTATCATCTTTACCATCACCTAAAACATAAAATACATAGAACTGTCATTTTGTTTTATCTGAATAACTAAGGAGTCAATATCTCAAAGATGAGTTAGAGGAAAACATCTCATATATTCACATGTACCCATTAGGCATGACTGTATTTTTTACATTACTTTAAGAAATAAAGAGCAATGATTTTATTTACAATTTTAATCAGTTGGTAAAGTTACAGTTCATGTAATTGAATAAATTTAAAAGAGATAAGGTAGCTGAAAGCACTTGTAACATATATGAAATAAACCAGCTAAAATACTGAAAATTAATGTATATATAAAGTTTACAACAAATTTAAAAAGTGAAATCAAATTTTACAAAGAAGTGAAAAATTTTGCAATTTTTTTCTTGTCGCACACATACCTCAGTCTTGCCGTCCTTCTGGCCCCTGGCCTGTGGTGATACAAGAGTTATCTCAAACTTGACGCCTTTCTTTAGTTCCTCAGCCATAGCAGTTGCCTCACCCACCATTGGTAACATCTGAATCAAATCTTCTTGTAGCAGTAGATCATCTGTAACATAATTAAACATATCTTGTGATAAAACTCAATATTTCTCCCTCTGAATTTCCCAAATGGACCAGTCTACTCAGCTTCCATTTTTGAACCAGTCCACTGTTAATTTTTTTGGACACCAAGGCTAAATAAGGATATACTAGTTATGGTCAACTAAATAGAGAGTCTGGTCCGACTGCAGACTGGTAAGACACTTTACTTGACTGGCAATGGCTAAATTGCAGTTTCTGTTCTAGCTTTGTACATCACTTTATCAAATTAATAATTTGGAAGAATCTGGAACAATTATAAATATTACTTTGACTTACAAATATGAAATTATTACTGCATTTGCAAAATAAAAATAATGTTAAAGAACAACAATTATTTTAGTGTATTTTAATACTCGTCAAGATATTTAATGTATTTTATTTTATAAACAAACTCTTCTTTAGGGACCAATGTTATCTTCACAAGCACTCTATATTCTGTTTATCAGTAAAATGGGCACAGACCACTATATTAATAAATGACTGTAATGGGACTTCTTTTTCAGATATGCAAAAAAACAATTACATTGTTTTTTTGTTGGGTTGAACCTTGCACCAACACAATAAAGGTCATATGGCAAATTTCCAGCTAAGTTGATGGAGGAAGAGGTTAAGTGGCCCTCTGTGCATTATTTCAGGAAAAACAGGCATGTGAGTAGAACCACTTAAGTTACATAAGCTTGCTGGATAGCTTCCTCACAAGAAAGAATTCAAAGTCCCTGGCAATGTTTGAACCCACAGCAGTGAGAGGCAAGTGGTTTGAAGTCAACCAATTTAACCACTAGGCCATGGACACCCCATAAAATTGAAATTTAGCAGCAAACTGTGTTCAGTGTGGTCTGACTGTACAGATGAGTAACCCGACTTTCTTTTGTATTATAGGCAGAGACACAAAGAAGTCAGCATAATGCAGGGTAGTGAAATTTTTATCTACAGGATACCTGTGATCATTATAGTAAATCTAGTGTAGCATTGGAAAGTGGAAGATATAGAACATAATGTAAAATGGTGGCTTTAAATACAAAATAAATGATACAATTATGTAATTAAACAAAACAAAAACAATTTTAGCCGTGTCACGACAAAACCAACGTAATGCGTTTGCGACCAGAATGGATCCAGACCAGCCTACGCAGCCACGCAGTCTGATCAGGATCAATGCTGTTCGCTTACAAACCCTATAACAAGTAGAGAAACTGATAGGAAACAGCATGGATCCTGATCAGACTGCGCGGCTGCGTAGGCTGGTCTGGATCAGGCTGGTCTGGATCCATGCTGGACGCAAGCCCGCTATGTTGGTTTTGTCATGGCACGGCTCATTTCAGCATCATTCAGTACAAACAGAAAACTCACTCAAAGCTTTTTGTAAATTTGTTCTCTATAGCATTTAGAGTCTACGAAGAAAGTGAATTCTGCAGAATTGAAATATAGCAGGATGTTTCTGGTACAAGATTGCACAGTCCTTATCACAAGGGGACAGAACACATACAACCTTTTCTAAGAAAGGTCATTTTGAATACAATACTTAACTATCAGTGAAAGTTTAATTAATTCAAAGTAGCACACCTAGATATTAAAAAAAAATCATTTACATGTAATAACTAGAAATGTGTCCATAGGACACGGATGCCCCCCCCCCCCCCCACGCCACTGTTCTGTCAATCTTATGACTCTAGGTCAAATATTTTTTGACTACATGTGCCACAAGTTTAAAACTAAAAATCAACAAAGGGCAATAATTCTGTTAAATTTGGTCGCAGCAAAAATTCCTTCCTTTGCTACCATCTACACATTAAGGTGTAAGTTTAAGCAAAATCTGCCATCCGGTTTAAGAGGAGTTGCGTTCACAAAATTTCTACACAGTATATAATGAAAAAATCAACAAAGGGCCATAATTCTGTTAAATTTGGTTGCAGCAAAAATTCCTTCCTTTACTACCATCTACACATTAAGGTTGTTCATCCCTGAAAGTTTAAGCAAAATCTGCCATCCGGTTTAAGAGGAGTTGCGTTCACAAAATTTCTATATAGTATATAGTGAAAAATCAACAAAGGGCCATAATTCTGTTAAATTTGGTCGCAGCAAAAATTCCTTCCTTTACTGCCATCTACACATTAAGGTTGTTCATCCCTGGAAGTTTAAGCAAAATCTGCCATCTGGTTTAAGAGGAGTTGCATTCACAAAATTTCTATATAGTATATAGTGAAAAAATCAACAAAGGGCCATAATTCTGTAAAATTTTGTCGCAGCAAAAATTCCTTCCTTTACTACCATCTACACCTTAAAGTTGTTCATCCCTGTAAGTTTAAGCAAAATCTGCCATCCGGTTTAAGAGGAGTTGCGTTCACAAAATTTCTACATAGTATATAGTGAAAAAATCAACAAAGGGCCATAATTCTGTTAAATTTGGTCGCAGCAAAAATTCCTTCCTTTACTGCCATCTACACATTAAGGTTGTTCATCCCTGTAAGTTTAAGCAAAATCTGCCATCTGGTTAAAGAGGAGTTGCGTTCACAAAATTTCTATATAGTATCTAGTGAAAAAATCAACAAAGGGCAATAATTCTGTAAAATTTGGTCGCAGCAAAAATTCCTTCCTTTACTACCATCTACACATTAAGGTTGTTCCTCCCTGTAAGTTTAAGCAAAATCTGCCATCCGGTTTAAGAGGAGTTGCGTTCACAAGATTTCGGGACGTATGGACGGACAGACTGACGGACGGACTGACGGACGGACGGACAAGTGCAACGCTATATGCTCCAACATTGTGGGGGCATAAAAAAATTGACAGGAGAACAAAAAGTGACAAACTTGCCTTAGACACCTTGAATTCACTTAAAAGTTACATAAAATTTGTCAAAATATGGAGAAAAATAACCTAACTTGGTTTGAAACAGGATAGCAAAATGGTAAAATGATATATCCATTTCAGCCATACCTTGTAAAAGACCTTGAAACATCACATGAAGAGTGATTATTAATACATTTCTGAAACTATTGACATATTTTTATTATGTTTGGTTTTATTCACATTTATTTATAATCTGCATATATTCAACTGACTGGATGTGTGCTACTTAAAGTCATGCCAAAACTGTATTAAAGGTTTTACGGAAATTACCATGATTTTCAAGTAAATACCTTGATATCATCTTTGCATTTTTCGGATTCATTTCTAGACAGGACCACTGACATTTAAAAAGACACAATGTTTGTATCAATTTGTCACTCGAACAAATTCAATTCATTTTTTTTTCAATTTATTCCCAATGAATATACATTTCACTTTTAATCACAAAGGTTATGATTATATAAAATTAACTTCATAAATAGCTTGTGATTGCGTTCATTCATAATATAGTGACTGTATTCTATTCATAGCATGAACACAAACAAACATGAAAGTGAGCTGTAAACACATTAGGTTTAAAACATACAGTCGCAAAATCTGAACAAAAACAAAATAAAAGCATAAGCATGGGAAGCCTGACTTACTCATACCTTTACTGCCTAGAAGAAAAGTGTTTAGGATTATGAGAAATAAAATTTTAAAAAGCCTATATTAATCATGAAAATAAGGCACCAGTCAATTATAACAACAGCCCCTTAACCCCCAGCCATGCCCAGGGGTGATTATTGAGGAATACCAGAGGAATGACCCCTTTGTTTTTAACCTTCAGCCTGTCCAAGCACTGTCAGATTGATGTGTTGGTTTTTGTTTTAGTGCCAAATTTATAGCTTAGAATATCACTAATTGCAGTGTATGGTCTTTAGCCTGACTGGTTATCCCCAAGGGGCTGCAAGTGGGTACAATTGACTGGTGCATAACCTAATGATAATGTTAAATTGCGAAACATTCAATTAATGCTAAAATGCCTATTTATCAAAAGATTAATCGAGTATACCCTTGAATTAATTGAAATCCACCAGATTTTCATTGTTACCAGGACATATATCAACCATGCACAATTTTCATGATTCCATTCAAGATAATTAATTGCATTTTTTTATAAGCACTGTATTGTCTGTATGTAAGTAGGTTATCATGAATGTAAAATAATTTTAAAGTATAGTGACCTTAATATACATTAATACGGAAACAGGACATTTCAGCCCCAAACCAAATCGGCCCCAAACAAAACCGGCCCAAAACCAAAAACCCAGTGCATAAATCAGCCCCTGGACGTTTCAGCCCTTTTCCATGAGACATTTTTGCCCTACTATACTATATTGCTTGATTGATAACACAAACAATTATGACACTTTAATTCTTTAATTAATAATTCATTATCTTTTCATCTCGTGAACTTTTTAGATATACAATATTGTTTTTAAAGTTTTTAATTCTTATACAAAATAATAATTAAATAAAATTAATAAATAAATTAATTAATTTATTTATTGAAGTGCTTTTAATATTCTGATTTAAAATACAGGTTAGACTTAATCTGAATGGGGCCGATTTGATAAAAAGCTGAAACATCGGGGGCAAAAACATCTTGGGTAATTTGGGGCTCTTGGGGCCGAAATTACTCAAATCCATCAATATACATCACTCAAAACTCACAAAGAATCATATATACAGTACAATTTAAGTTCAAATCTAAATTTAATCATATCATAGCCCAACTCCTAGCCTACCCTACCCTATGTGCTGGTGTTATGTAAGGATATAAATGAGCATACCATACCTTTAGAAGTTCCATCACTAGCTGTCATCAGTCCGGATTGTTTGGCGATCTCCTCTTGTGCGGTATCAAATGTTGGGGTGTCTACTTTCTCCCCGGCATTTACCTTCTTGGCATAATCTTGTGGGTGGTGGAAAACATACAAGTGGTTTGGTCCAAATGACACTCTGTGAAACAAATATTACATTATTCTATATTCTAACACGACCCGCATTTTTCCCTATTGTACAAAGAAGGACTGAAAGTGTGTGTTATTATGCAATAAAATCACTGTTGATGTTATATATTAAGAGATGTGACATAACCATTAGATATGTGACGTAACCACTAAATATGCGACATGCTGAAAATAAGTACAGAAACAAATCAGGCGCAATTAAGCTTAATATTAGGTACGGCAGTATTTATAAGTTGTTGTCATGTTAGAATCGAAATATCATATGTAAATTTCTAAAGTAACATTTTCATTTATACTTAACCTGTTCTGTATATCAAACTAGCTGATTATACCTCTACATTTATCATCACCAACATCAGTATGGTAATTAATATTCACACTTAATATTCATTGCAAACCAAATCCATAATCAGTTACTTTCACTAACATACATCATAAATCCCTTTCTCTATCAAACATTTTAACTTAAATATTTTCTATTTAGTTATTTTCCTTCGTTAACCTTTCCAAGGGGAGCGGTGGCCTAGTGGTTAAAGTGTCTGCCTCTCTACCCAGAGATCATAGGTTCAAGCCCAACTCAGGTCATGACCATGTTTCTTCATATTTACACCAGTACTGGTTGGTTCCAGGATGCGGACTCCAAAGTGATTAATATAAGTTGCAAGATCTTGTTTTGCATCGAGCTAATATAAAATATTTAAACCAAATCTTTAAATTAAATTATTCCTTTTGCCCCAACCCCTCTTCCTCATCACTATAGCATTGAATAAATTCTTGTTGTACTTTAAAAAAAAACAAGAGGGCCATGATGGCCCTGAAGTCGCTCACCTGTATATAGGCCCCAAGAGCGGGGCCAGTTTAAACCCCAGGGCTTTTATTTGAACAAACTTGATGGACACCCATTAGAAGATGTTTCATGCTAAACATCTAAGGTCTAGCTGGTCAAGTTTTTTCTTTACACATATAGTTAAAAACAATGACACACCTGGGGCAGGGCCAGTTTTGACCCAAGGGCTTTTATTTGAACAATCTTTGTAGACACTTACTAGAAAATGTTTCATGCTTAATATCTAAACTCTAGCTATTCCGGTTTTTTCAAAGAAAATTTTTAAGTTTTTGCTATACACATAAAAGGAAAATCAATGTCCCCAGGGGTGGGGCCAATTTTGACCCCAGGGATTTTATTTGAACAAACTTTGTAGACACTCACTAGAAGATGCTTCGTGCTTAATATCTAACCTCTAGCTATTTGAGTTTTTTCAAAGAAGATTTTTTAAGTTTTTGTTATACACATAAAAGGAAAATGAATGACCCCCGGGGCGGGGCCAATTTTGAACCCAGGGCTTTTATTACAACAAACTTGGTAGACACTCACTAGAAGATGTTTCATGCTTAGTATCTAAACTCTAGCTATTTGGGTTTTTTCAAAGAAGATTTTTTAAGTTTTTGCTATACACATATAAGGAAAATCAATGACCCCCGGTGTGGGGCCAATTTTGACCCCAGGGCACTTATTTGAACAAATTTGGTAGACACCCATTAGAAGATGTTTCATGCTAAATATCTTAGCTCTAGCTTTTTGGGTTCTTTAAAAGAAGATTTTTTAAGTTTTTACTATATGCATATAGGGAAAATCAATGCCCCCCTGGGGCGGGGCCAATTTTGACCCCAGGGCTTTTATTTGAACAAACTTGGTAGACACCCATTAGGGGATGTTTCATGCTAAATATCTAAGCTCTAGCTCTTTGGGTTTTTTAGAAGAAGATATTTAAAGTTTTTTCTTTTGGTTGCCATGGCAACCAGAGTTCTGCATGGAATTAAATTCTTTGAACAATTTTCAAAGGTGACCACCAAAGGAACATTCCTGTGAAGTTTGGATGAAACATGCTTAGTGGTTTATGAGGAGATGTCATTTAAAGTAAAAGTTTACAGACGACAGACGGACGGACGCCGGACGAAAAGTGATCATAAAAGCTCACGCTGTCACTTTGTGACAGGTGAGCTAAAAACTCCTTGGATTTACCTGTCATTATGGCTGAGCTTGGTTTCCTTGGTAATTTTGGCACCATTGATCATAATTTGTGCAGATGGACTTGGTTTAATAGCAACATTGCCATCTTTGTTGGTAATCTCACAATGGTCTTTCTGTATGCTGAAATGTTATAATGTATCCATGTCAGTGATGATTATACAACTACAATAAGCAACTAAAAATGATCTGAAATGGAACACAATGGACTAGCTGATATTATTTGACATCTTGGCAAGGTGTTGTTCTGTTATAAATAGTCAGATCACCATTTATTATCAAAAAAGTTGCATGTTATATTCTGTCAGGTAGCAACATCTACACTGTTCTTATGAATCAAAATAAAAAAATCTTTCTTTGACTTGCCTGCGTTTGTTAAAACTCAGTTATTGGTTAAAAGTGGATAACTGGACATGTTTATTGTCCAGTGGTAAATATTATGAGGTATCTTGAGGTCACTGTTAATGTTATAAGGATACATCTATACCTGCTTAATTTCAAGAAATGTTCTAATAGACAGCCTGTCTAAGACAGGGGTCCAGTTCTGGTGACATACATGTACAATTAATCATGATTGAAAAAACATCTGTTTTAAACACAAACCATTCTTACTTAAGAAGGCAGAAACCACAATCATCAACCAATATATGGACTGATTCTGACATTAAATGGTGGATGAAGACTATAACTAAGATCAAATTTTACAATTCCTATTTAATGAAGGCAGAAACCAGCATGATTCTAACAATAAATGATCCGCGCAGTCTGATCAGGATCCATGCTGTTCGCTATCGGTTTCTCTACTTGTTATAGAGTTGGTAAGCGAACAGCATGGGTCCTGATCAGGCGCAGGCTGGTCTGGATCCATGCTGGTCGCAAACGCACTATGTTGGTTTTGTCGTGACACGGCTCAAATGTTGGATGAAGACTATAACTAAGTTTAAAATTTTACAATTCCTACTTTAAGAGGGCATAATACAGAAACTTCAACCAATGTTAGGAATGATTCTGACATTGAATAGTGGATGAAGACTTTAACAAAGATCAAAATTTTACTTAGAATGTTTAACTGTGCACTATGTCATTCCACCAGTAAAAGATGTAAATTTTAATCAAACAATCAACAAAAAGTTATGAAAGAAATCATCCTCTTGTGTTATTGAAGTAATAAATTTTCAACCTGTCCTTTTTCATTTAACGTGTCTATGGAGAATGTTTACACATAACTTATTTAGAATTATAATTCATAAAATATACGAGTCAACCTACCTCAGTCCATTCAGCTGTATTTCTGGAGGTGGGGATGCAGTCTTGTTACCTAACCTGTTTTTACCTGAGGATAAATAAAAATAAAACAATTTAGGACATGCTTGAATCTATGAAAACAATTTTATAGAATAAATATGACAAACTTAACAAAAGTATGTTGACAAAACAGTAGAACCTGTTTATATAGACCAGACATGTGAAACTGATACAATTTGTCTTTTATAATGAAGCAATGAATTTGCTCTGTAACTGCTCAGATTATACGCTGAACCAAGGATGGCAAAATCTATTTTTGACTAACTTTTATCTGATTTATGTGAAACATTTCTTTACTTGTCTGTTTGAAATTTATGAAATTTATTCTCAAAAAATTTCATTATCCGTACAAAATGTTGGACAACCTAGGCAGAACTGACAATGGGGTTTGCCATCCAAGTGACCATTAACTACATGTTTTTTTTCTTACCAAGTGACATGTCAGAGCCAGATTCTGGTAGCAAATTTGTTTAATCTACAGACATTATAAATGATGGCAAGTGCTATCATAACTGAAGTTTGTAACTCAATGCTATGGTTACCTGGTTTGATAAAGTGAACTATCATGCCAGTGAGGGCCGGATCCTCATTCAAGTTCCAGAAATGTGGAATAACTTTCTTGTCTCCTTCCTCCTTCTGGTGCATTTGCACTGTACCCTACAATATTAACGCAGTATTGTTAAACCATTATGAAATCCCTGGCAAACGGTCTGATTTGCAGTTTTTCACAAATTTATCAGATGCCCGAGGGTGGTGCGATCTGAAATCTTAAAGTTGGAATTTAGAAGTTTATAACTAATGTACATGTTCAGGCTAACCAGACATAAAATCTAGGTTTGGGCATTCAACTTTCAGAAGAAAAGAGTTTATCAAATGATTAGCCTTTGTCACCAAAGTCAACAATATAGGTTTTGTTTGATGACAAGGTTATAATACTGTTGCTCATTTCTATATTTTGATGTAGAGATCACTCAAAATTAAATATACATGTAATATTCCAGACTCAAAGCAGGGCAAATACTTTGCAATAATTCAGTGGGTTAAGGGATATTTACCGATCCTCCAGACTGTGCTGACTCTGCCATTCTCTGCTCATAGGACTTGGTGAGATTTTCAAGCTCCTCCTCCTTTTTACGTAACTCCTCCTCCATCTGCCTCTTCATCTCTTCAATCTCTGTAATACATGTACAAAATGTCTATTAATAGATTTTTTCACAATTCTAGCACGAGTTGTCTCCCTTTACCAACATTTGGCAGTTATTTTGGTCCATATTTTTCTATTGTTAAGAACATTTTTTCATTGAGTAAATTATGTTTTGTTTTGTTTTTCTTTTTTTCTGGAAGTTATCAACATCATTAATACTAAAACAATACATTATCCTCAAAATACATATAAATTTGATATAACACAAAACCTCAAAAATACAGTAATATTATAAATCTGTGAATATAATAAAACTGTAAATTTATGAAGTTGGACTTGATTGTAAATATTTTAAAAATATCAGTCAGAAACAAAACAATAACATTAATTATCTAAAAAGATGATTACAAAAAGAGAATGAGATCAACAATTTACAGTTTCTAAAAATAGAAAACATCCAGGATTGTAAAGCTACTCTAAGAAATTCTTGAAAAAATACATTTTAAACCATTATAATAGTTATTTTTCACCATATTCAACCCCTACAAAGAACTACCAGTAAGGCATTAAACCAAAAAACCAAAACATCAAAAACGGACAATATTTTTTTTTCGGTTAAAAAATGACCTTACCACCTCCGGAACATTGAAAGTACTGTTGCCATAGCAACTGAGCAGATTCATCATCTATCTTCAGAACCATTGTTTAAATCCTAGTTACCATAGTTAAAATTTTAAATTATGCGAAAATTTCACTTAAATTTACAAAACTATATTTTCATTAGGATGAAAATTAGAAAAAAATATGCTATTTTGTTAGCACAGACATAGTTGATAAGATAGAGCCAGAAATGTTAATGTTAATAAAACTTTATGTATTTTCTGCATTTCTTTAAAAGAACATGACTGTTTTTTCTGATTTTTTCATTCTTTTAAATATTTCTTTTTAATGAAAATCACATTAAAATCCAGTCAATGCAATTTTGCTTATTTTTCAGTGGGACACTCTCCTAAATATTAAGTTTATTTCCAAATGACACTGAATAAATTTTCAAACAATTGAAATTTCCCTCATCACAAAAGTCAATGCGAATATTTGCCCTTGAATCAAAAGTTCGATATATGTAGTACAAATTTTACGATTTTCTCTTATCTTAGTGAAACTTGATCAGTAAGAGAATAATTATCATAATTTTATTATGTATATGACCTATTGAGATTTAATTCTCCATCGTAAAATGGAAATAAATGGACCCAAGTATTATGGCTGACAAACACTGACCAACATATAAACAGGATGCAAAATATCCCCAGCATGTTGGTTGTTGATAAAACACAAGTTACTTTTTGAGCTGGTACCTCAAATTCTAATACTGGACAGATTCTAAAACTACCCGTTTATTTGCCTCTGTATAACATGTTTAAATCAATATTTTTTCAGGAAATACATTGAAATTCAATCCTTGCTTAATATTAACAATTTTATTTTAGCCTCTGCATCAATTACATAAACGTATTTAGAAAATTTACAAAAACTGAAGCCCTCAAATTTGAATGATATCATATTACATAATCTGAAATATGAAAATTACATGCATATGGCATAAAATACAAATTATTTGAATTTCTTTTCCATATTTTAAATGGGTACTAAATGGCTGAATCCATATTATAAATCTTACGACTAAGGGAATAACTCAACACACGTATCTATTTAACTACAGAGTCTATCTAGAAGTGCAACTATACATCAGTATGCAGATTTTATTTTTGGGATAAATTTGGATAATCTACTGTTGAAACAATTGTTGGAAGAACCTGTCTTACACCTCCAATGTTAGACAAGTGACGTTGCATGCTTTAAATGATGTTATTCCTGCACATATTTAATGAATGAATTGCCTGGTTACAACATTTAGCGTAAACTTGGCAAGGCCTCATTTCTGCCATAAACAGTTACCCTCAAGATAAATATTTCGGTCTTTAATGGCAACTGGTACAAAATCCTTACACTCCACAAAACATAACATTTGAAAAATATTTTCATGCCATAACTGAGTCAAAATATATTGCAGTGCAGACCAACTATATCAAAATATATTATAACACAGGTTTTCCTTTGGCTGTATAGTTGCACTTCTACTGTGGTAGGTCTTGTTCAGACGTACTCAAATATATGAGGGCAAACTCATAATATACAATATGGGAGTCTGTCTATTGTTGTAATATATACACTAGTCACCTTAGTGCAGTAATGGATTAACTCATTATATAATTTAATAGGAGTTAACCTGCTGCTGCACTGTAAGGTGACAACATTATTTCATGTATGCAAATTATACAATATCTCTAGGATCTATCACAACACTGGTATAACTATATCAAGTTAACAAACATGTTCAAAATAGAGTTAACCCACAAATTTAGAGTTAACCCACAAGTTCAGAGTTAACCCACAAGTTACAAAAGTGCTGTTTTGAACCTTTGATCATGTAAAATATGTTTTTGTATCATGAATATATAATGTATATTTTAACCTGACTACAAAGGTAAAGAATATAGTGCTCACACATTGCTATATATTAGTCCATACGAAGGTGACCTTTCTGATATCACATACAAAATTTCTGTTTTTGTTTAGTTTCAGTTGTACATTAAAAATTTTACAGCCATACTTCTGGAAAAAAACCTATGGTGTCACTCAGCCATTTACTTTTTAAAGCACAAGCAAGCACCCCAGTAGAACATTACATGGAAAAATTGAAAATATCTTTCCCTTGCCATGGTGACCTTGACATCATTGACCTTAAAGTTTATCATATGGTAGAAGCAGGTATCTTAAAAATGTTAATAAATAACCAAGTTATGATAAAATTTACTGCTTGAAAATTTTACCTTGAAGGTCATGATAATTTAGGGTTCAAGGTTATATATGCAAGTACCTAATGCAAAGGTTTAAAAAACCTAAATGTTCAAGTGTATGCATGAAAGGTCACCTAGAAATGGACTATAATAACCAACATATAACAATTTAAATACTACTTTACTTCACAAAATCTATATTTTCAAACAGTGTTTTTGCAAGAAATCAAAAAAGAGTATTTTTTTATTTCAATTGTTAATACAAACAGAAAAGAAAGTATTAATATCTTAATACATGTTGACCTAGTTACTTAAAAGAAACTGGTTAAAAAGTCAAATATGAATAAACTATTTTTATGATTACTACCAAGTAAAAAAATCAATCAATTAATCAATCAATCAATCCTTTGAACTTTAAAAACTATCAATGAAAGTACAAATTAAACATCTGAAAATCATAGAAAGGTGGTAGACAGTGATTGACTATATTGACTTAAGTACTGTAACAGGGACAAAAAAATTAATATCTAATTAATCTAAGTTAACAACAAGGACTTGTGGTGTAAAAGATCTTCACATGGAAGATGTAATTTGGTGCCTTATATGATATTTTAATGCAACTTAATTTCATATTCTTGTGGTTAAATGCAAACCAAAATAACAAAATTTTGAAAGAAAGAAAATAATTTGAAAATAAGTCCCTGTTACAATAACAATTAGAGTATATACATGTAAATGTCCGAGTCAGTCTTTCTTTTCATGATTCCTTTCTAAAGATACCAAGTAATTGGACAATTTTTAAATTTTGAAGTATTTGTTTTGTATGTACTGTAAATTCATAAGGCAGTTTTTGAACTTTGCCGAGTAAGGGACCTCACGGAAATTCAGTGCCTAAGGCACACATGGACTATAAATAAGCCCCCCCCCCACCAAAGGTAAAACTAACCATTTAGATTGCCCTAAAATGAAACATTTTACCCTATTTGATGATAAAACTAATAAGCAATGATGACAAAGAAGCCATCACAACCACTAAGCCACTAGGACATCTAATAGTGTACTAAATAATTATAGTAAGTATCAATCATAAAGAATCATGAAGACTTTGACAAGTACATATATATGTAAGGGTTATATAAATACTGTTTGTTGTGACATACCATGATCTACAAGTATAAGACATATATAGCTGTTATAATTAACAATTTATTAACAAACCAATTAACAAAACATTATATGGGGCTAGTTACCACACACATTCAATATTAATTGAAAAGCTTCAAAAAAGCCTAAAGCTTGAAGAAAAGCATTTTATATTTTTTAAGGAAAACATTAGCTGTGCATGCATATAATATACATTAAACAAAACAATCATTTTCTATAACTGAACAAAAATCACAGATATTTAACAAAAAGAGTTAATGCAGCACGCCTCCAGATTCATGCTAATTTTCATGAAAATTTTAAAAATCTATTTAAATGTATATTATTGTGAAGTTACCAAAAGGAAGCCATTTACACATGTTTTGTACGTAAACTACCAAAACAGGTCAAAATATGCAAAAATAGCTCTTAATGCGTTAGTAACACAGTAGAAATATTGTTGTAAATACTGAAAAAAATCCGAGTCATTAACCGCACATAACATATGAATTATTACTTGATTCTCAAATCTGATTACCTTTCCTTAAATCTTAGTACATGTTTCTCAAATTTGATTTTTAAAACATATTTCAGCTCATCTGGAGGCATGTAGCTTTAACAAACTATACACATAAAGAAATAAACATAACTGAAATAAAAAAAAAATAACAATAATTATGTCCAACAAAAAGAAAACAAAACTTAAAAAAACTTAAATATAAAAATTTGTTTATTATTATTCCCTGCATGCATTTAAAAGGATCATTGCTATGCTTATTTAACAACTTGACATTTAGTATACATGAAGCCAACCCAAAAATGGCGGAGGAATGTGCTATCTATAGAAATCAAAGGGGAGTAACTCTACCTTCAGATCCTCCACCACTGCCAGCTGCAGGGGCCATAACCACGCCTCCTGACTTCAACATTTCCATCAGCTTAGCATTCTCCTCTCTCAGTTCACGTATGAGTTTGTCTGTGGGGCTCTCGTTGATGGTGGCTGTCGTTTTAATGGCCTTTGCTCTGTCGGCTATAAATAACAGTTAAACTTTATCGAAAGTACCTGGTTATCAATCTTTCAAGCATCCAGCTTATGTATAGATAGGAAATTCATATAAATACAAAAAAACCCCTTAAACTTCACCAATAAGACTTTTGTATTTGTGACTTTATGTGTATATATAATAAGTTCAATAAAAACAAACTATTTCTTTAGCTTTCAACGTTTTGTTTTTGTTTTTTTTGTTGTTTTTTTACTTGATGTGTAAAATGCTGCTACTTTTTAATTAAAAAAAAAATTAATGATTAGGGCTAACACTTCAATATTCTAAACTCTCTGTTGGCTTTAATATGTACGTGTTATTTATTAAAAGCATAAATAAAACTTTAAAAACAATGATATGATTGCTCAGTAAATCTGTTACATACCAAATCTGAGTGTAGACAAGGTTTCCTCATAGTTAATATCAGCAGGACTCAATGCAGCAATCTACAATATAAAACATTATACAATACAATACTGCATTTCATAGAATGTCCTAAGTTTATCCCAATTCCTATGACCTATAACAAACAATAGGACTAATTTAAGACTGTTTCAATAAATATTTTTGTCTTTTGTAAAAGTTTTAGACTTTAATTTAATTCATTATCATGAGAAAAGTTACAAGATACAATGACATGCACTTCAATCTGCAATGTGTAAATGTTCATCAGCATCATAAAAGAAATTGAAGAGTTTAAACATAAGTCATGTGTTAGGTCATTTTCTTTGAATTGAAATGTCCAATCAGTTAAATTTGTATCACATACAACTTTCAATGAAACACAACATTGATTTGTTTCCAAACTAAATCGTTCCATTTCTTATAAAATAGATAAATGACATGTCAATTTATTTTAGAAATAACTTTTTGTTTTTATCCTGAACTAAAGAAAAGAATATTTCTCCAAAATGCTCTCACAGATTTGCAAGCCGGAGATTTTTACTGCTGAAGAGTACAATGCAAACCATTTATTCCATGATATGTTTTAAGTAAGTGTATTTATAATACCTCTCCTTAGGTAACAAGTTTACAAGTTTAATCAACAGTAAAAACGAAGTAAATCCACAGAAAAAACAAAGGATCTCTGCATGATGTCTTAGGAAGTTGCCTCATGCTTCATCCTGCTAGCTGGGGACATTTTAATTACTGGAAATAGAATATGTATATCCTCACCATAATTGTTTTGCTGTTTCCACCCAGGGCATTCTGTAGCAGTCTTGTCAAGGTGGAGTCTCTGTATGGAACTGAAACATAATATAACAATATTATTCACATCATTATATAAATATCCCAATGAAATCCAATTTCTTTTTTTAATTATATGTAAAATGCTCACAGAAATCCCCCCCCCCCCGCCCCCCCAAAAAAAAAAATAAGTATCAATTCACAATGATGACTCTTCTTTATATAAACAAGAGGGGCCATGATGGCCCTGAGGTCGCTCACCTGTATATAGGCCCCCAACCCCCCCCCCCAACGTTGCAGGGCCAATTTAACCAAGGGCTTTTATTGGCACAAACTTGGTAGACACCCATAAGAAGATGTTTCATGCTAAACATCTAAGCTCTAGCTCATTGGGCTTTTTAAAAGAAGATTTTTTTTAAAGTTTTTACTATATACACATATAGTTAAAAACAATGACACCCCTGGGGCCGGGCCAGTCTTGACCCCAGGGCTTTTATTTGAACAAACTTTGTAGACACTTACTAGAAGATGTTTCATGCTTAATATCTAAACTCTAGCTATTTGAGTTTTTTCAAAGAAGATTTTAAGTTTTTGCTAGACACATATAAAGAAAATCAATGACCCCCGGGGCGGGGTCAATTTTGACCCCAGGTCTTTTATTTGAACAAACTTTGTAGACACTCACTAAAAGATGTTTCATGCTTAATATCTTAACTCTAGCTATTTGGGTTTTTTCAAAGAAGATTTTTATTAAGTTTTTGCTATACACATATAAGGAAAATCAATGACCCCCGGGGCGGTGCCAATTTTGACCCCAGGGCTTTTATTTGAACAAACTTGGTAGACACCTATTAGAACATGTTTGATGCTAAATATCTTAGCCATAGCTTTTTGAGTTCTTCAAAAGAAGATTTTTTAAGTTTTTACTATATGCATATAGGGAAAATCAATGACCCCCCGGGGCGGGGCCAATTTTGACGCCAGGGCTTTTATTTGAACAAAATTGGTAGACACCTATTAGAACATGTTTGATGCTCAATATCTTAGCCATAGCTCTTTGAGTTCTTTAAAAGAAGATTTTTTAAGTTTTTACTATATGCATATAGGGAAAATCAATGACCCCCGGGGCGGGGCCAATTTTGAAGCCAGGGCTTTTATTTGAACAAACTTGGTAGACACCCATTAGAACATGTTTCATGCTAAATATCTTAGCTCTAGCTCTTTGGGTTCTTTAAAAGAAGATTTTTTAAGCTTTTACTATATGCATATAGGGAAAATCAATGACCCCCCGGGGCGGGGCCAATTTTGACCCCAGGGCTTTTATTTGAACAAACTTGGTAGACACTCACTAGAAGATGTTTCATGCCAAATATCTAAGCTCTAGCTCTTATGGTTTTTTAAAAGTAGATATTTAAAGTTTTTTCTTTTGGTTGCCATGGCAACCAGAGTTCTGCATGGAATTAAATTCTTTAAACAATTTTTAAAGTTGACCACCAAAGGAACATTCCTGTGAAGTTTGGATGAAATTGGCTTAGTGGTTTATGAGGAGATGTCATTTAAAGTAAAAGTTTACGGACGGACGCCGGACGAAAAGCGATCACAAAAGCTCACCCTGTCACTTTGTGACAGGTGAGCTAAAAAAATTGTCACAATTTCAACATGATCGGACATTTTTTTAAATTATTAACTTACCAACAACTTTCTTTTTCCCCATGGACTGGTCAGCCAAAGCCTTAATGACATTTCCTAGGGAACTGAGGGACTGGTTGATGGCTGAGCCTTCCTTAAGTCTGTCCCCTGTAGCCCCTGTAGAGTCTGCCCTCTCACTGAAAATATGTTCACAGTGCTAATTAGACCACAATTAATCAAAACATCAAAATATAACAATCATATTTTTGGAATATCTACCCTGATGAAGATGTATAATGGACTTGTCTTGAATTGAATTTGGAACAATTTACTAGTAGTTTAAGGGAATTTTCTTTATCAAAATATTCACATTGAGCTGACAACAGTATAAAGCCTGAACAGGTTTTACAAATATCCAATAAAGAACCCCAGTATGATGCAAAGTTGATAAAGTAAATATCCCACCAAGAACAAGTATGATAGGAATATTGGAATAGTTAATATCCATCCCTAGACCAGTCAGACAGGAAGTTGATAAAATAGATATCAAACCTTGAACCAGTCTGACAAGAAGTTTATAAAAAACTAGAAATGTGTCCATAGGACACGGGTGCCCCCACCGCGCCACTGTTCAGTCAATCTTTTTACTAAGTCAAGGGAAATAACTCTACAAATACTGGATAAATCCACAAGCGAAACCCAAGGTGCAAATCTAAATATGCTGAGCAACCTGCCCATAAGGTTTAATGACTATGTCAAATTCTTTTTGAGTAACTTGCGACACAAGTTGAAAATTGCAAAAATTTTCTAAGTGAAGGGCAATAACTCTAAAAATACTAAATAAATCCAGACGAAAATATCTGATGCACAACTGCACATGCTGATCAACATTCCTGTAAAGTTTCATGACTCCAGGTCAAATACTTTTTGAGTTACATGCGACACAAGTTGAAAATTGCAAAATTTTACTAAGTCAAGGGCAATAACTCTGAAAATACTTAAAATATCCAGACGAAAATGCCCAGGTGCACAACAACACATGCTGATCAACATTCCTGTAAAGTTTCATGACTCCAGGTCAAATACTTTTGAGTAACATGCGACACAAGTTGAAAATTGCAAAATTTTCTAAGTGAAGGGCAATAACTCTAAAAATACTAAATAAATCCAGACGAAAATATCTGATGCACAACTGCACATGCTGATCAACATTCCTGTAAAGTTTCATGACTCCAGGTCAAATACTTTTTGAGTTACATGTGACACAAGTTGAAAATTGCAAAATTTTACTAAGTCAAGGGCTATAACTCTACAAATACTGAAAATATCCAGACGAAAATACCCAGGTGCACAACTACACATGCTGATCAACATTTCTGTAAAGTTTCATGACTCCAGGTCAAATACTTTTTGAGTAACATGCGACACAAGTTGAAAATTGCAAAATTTTACTAAGTCAAGGGCAATAACTCTGAAAATACTAAAAATATCCAGACGAAAATACCCAGGTGCACAACAACACATGCTGATCAACATTCCTGTAAAGTTTCATGACTCTAGGTCAAATACTTTTTGAGTTACATGCGACACAAGTTGAAAATTGCAAAATTTTACTAAGTCAAGGGCAATAACTCTACAAATACTGAAAATATCCAGACGAAAATACCCAGGTGCACAACAACACATGCTGATCAACATTCCTGTAAAGTTTCATGACTCTAGGTCAAATACTTTTTGAGTTACGTGCGACACAAAAGTGAACGGACGGACGGACGGACGGAAGGACGGACGGACGGACAAGGGTAAATCTAAATGCCCGCCACTAACGTGGGGGCACAAAAGATAAAACCTTGAACCAGTCTGACAGGATTCACAGGAGGTAAATTAAACACCTACCTTCCAGCAAGATCTACCAAGTTCACTGTTGATGTCCTTGTCATACTTTGTCCTGTTTCATTAGGCTGTTTCTGTGTGAATGTGATGGCAACAATTGTGTGGGCACGACTATAATGCAAAGATTGAAAAAAAAGTCACACCACCAGGTACAGTAACAGTGTATGTGATAAAACATGCATTTTTTTTGGATAAAATAAGAAGCCTTATTCTATAGCTTGATATTTCAATATGTTTTTTATTTGTATTTTTTTTCTTGTTTTTACACTAATTTTAATATATTATGCATATGGGATTATAATAGTTGAAAGGCTTACTGGCTTGATAACCATGTGATGAAATTCTTTAGGAATTGAAAAATAATAAACAATGAAATATTATCAATGATAACAATGCTAAAGGTTTTCATTGATCAGTAAAGTTAACATCTCAAAGTCATTTATTATTAACAATACAATGGCATTAACAAGAACTGTATGTAATTAATATACATTCACACACACTGCCTTGACACAGAAGAAGCCTTACTGGAGGTGGGGACTAAATTATTATCTGGATTAACACTAAAATTGGCAGGGCTTCCATTAAGTTTCAAAATTTGGAAGTAAGAGACTGCAAAATCACTGACACTAGAAGTCAATTTATAAAGGTAAAGAAGGAAAAGCATAACATGTTGGTGGAAATCACATATCAAAATCAAGGAGTAAATTACATCAAAATTTCATTAATGGAAGCCCTGACTGGTAAATAATACAGCAATTAGCACTGTACTTCTAATCAAGCCCTTTTATGTATTTCCTATGCTTATTCTAGTGACATCATCACACTTTACTGTTCTATTTTTAGAAATGCCCGAAACTTTTTAGTCTCAAGGAAAGCCAAGCATGATTTAAAACAGTCAATTTTAGCAGTTATAAACATACCTGCTGGTAGCGTTCATGTTGGTGGCCGCAACGGTTCGGTTTCTGGTTCCATCATTGATCTTACCATCAATCTCTTTATAACTGTTGACACCACATGCTGTCAGATTCTCAACTTTAATATAAATACAGAATAATGTTAAAAGACAAGGTTACATGATTTGCTTCTATCCTATACTTTTTTTAACAAATTAATACAGATACAATGTTTAACGCCACATGAATATTTTCACACAGATGCATGCATGTGACATTATGTTTGGTTTTCTTATTTCAACACCAGATGAACTTTAAACAAAAAAAAAAGCTTCAAGAATCCTCAATATAAAGGATTCTCGAAAGTTTATACCTCAAGTTGACCTTGACCTTTAACATATCAACTTAACAGAATCATCTGAGATAACCTTCAGTATGACCTTGACCTTTGACAACTTAACTTAAACTGCATCTCAAAGTCTTGTTCTATAAAAACTCTTGTATTTTTTAGAAATTGATGAAAAAACAATAATTCTCTGTAAGAATTCAGATAAAATAAATTAACATTTAAAGCAGGAGATATTATATAATTCATACCGTAGAATCCTTTGGATGGATGCTGTCTGACCTTGAGGCCTCCTTTCACAGTCATTGATTTAGCATTAAGCAAGTCACGCACTTGTTCATTATAAATTTCCAACATACTCAAAGATACCTGCAAGAATCAAGGGGAGTTACTCTGGTTTTATCAGGAAAATAAATAAAGACTAATAAATGTTATGTTCATTTTTTTCACTTCTTAACCCATTACGTCATATACACGCCTTTTAACGCCTTTTTCACCCCCCCCTTTTGTTGTCTCAAATGATGAAAAAATGCCTTATTTGGGCCCCCAACACTTGTTTTTGTTTGAGAAATGTTGTTCAAAAAAGTGACCTCTTTTTAGGCGCGGCCCCCCAACCAAAAGATACTTTAGGGGGTTGCCAGAAGGGGGATGTGCCCCCTTCTGTTTGGGGGGTTTGAAGGGGGGCGGAGTCCCCCTCATCGCCAAGAAAATTTTGGACTTGTGAGAGGCTATAAATGACCCCAGATTGATCATAAGGTAACGTGTAACCAACGCTGAAAAGCATTTGACTCTATCTCAACCCATTGAGAAGTTGCAGCACTTTGAAATCAATTTTGATGGAAAAAATCAACGCAAAATAGTGATTTTTGGCAATTTTGAGATGTCCCCTCGTTGCCATGGTAACAGAAAATTTAAGCCTGAGCATGTTGTTGCAAGGGCAATGGTCCAGTCAACATTTGTGCCAAGTTTGATTAGTGTTGAAGCAGTTTTTATAGTATTATAGCAATTTGAACTTGTAACGGGAGACTTTTCAATGAAAACAGCCATTTTTCACAAAATGCTCATGAAGTAATGGGTTAAAATACAATAGAATTAACATGAAAAATAACAGACTAAACATCAACGTTATGAGATTTAAGGGCAATTCATTCTACTACATAAGGGCAATTAATTCTTCAACAGAAATACTAAATATTAAATGATAATTTCATGAAATTCATTTTCAAATTCAAACTGAAAAAAAAAAATAGTTTGTACCAATATTTAATTAAGTTGAATTAATTATAATGATCAATGATCAGGTAAGAATTCTATTGTTCAATGTAGTAGCTAAAATATAATTTATTATGTACAGTTATAATATACCTGATAATCCTCATCTTTTCCTGCAGTTTTCCTTTTCTCTTCAATACCCTTAAATATCTCATCACAGAAAATTGGTACAATACCCTTGTTGGACCCATAGCCCACCATAGAGTATGACTTTCCAGATCCCGTCTGACCATAGGCGAACAAGGAGCAGTTATAACCCTTCCATGCATTGTCAAGAACACCACGACCCAGGTCATCAAATACTCTTTGCTGAAATATGTAATAAATAGGAATGAGCTTATGATTATGTAAAATAATTCTGTATGAAGCTGAGTCAAATAGTGCAAAATTGTGCACATAAGCACAGTGTGACCAAATATGGTGGACATTTGTGTTATTTTTCCTTTAGTATGTAAGATAAAGTAGAAAGTTAAAGGCGCTTAAACAAAGCAGGGCCTAGTGAGTCAGCACATTGCATGCTTGTGAAGAACTCTATACTTCTACCTGTTAAATTAACTTCTTGGTTTAAACTCTTAAATTAACTTGCTTAAATTCCTTAAATGGACTTGTTGAGCTGCCATTTTTGGAACCGTAAATTTTGCGAGCATCCAGATGAAAATTTATAGTTTGTTCGCCACCAATAATATAAGCCCTGATCAGATAATGCATAGAAATTCAGACTGGTCTGTCTCTTTACTGGTGGCAAAGGCTAAACAATTTCCATTCCAGCAGGTTAATTGTTCAATGTATTATCAAGCCATTAATATAAGACTTTATACAATGTTACTAGCCGTTTGTGGTACCAAAAAGGAATCAGTGCCTTCAGTGCTTTGATAAGCCAAAATACCTGTATGATACATGTTTATGCCACCAGTATTGAGCAAGGCTGGCATGCACACTAAATTCCTTTTACAAATCTAGAGTCTTAAGTAACACTTCATTGATCCTATGCGGTCTTACTTAAGGTCCTAGCCTAAGACTAGTAATTGGAACTGTTAATTGTTATGTTAAAACAATTCAGTATCAAATTATGAATATAGAATATGGCCTCAATGCAAAGAATGTAAAGCAATCAATAACATAAATTACTTTATACATTATTTATTCAAGCACCATTTTAAAGACAACTAAAGTAGCTTATTTGAATCACGTTCATGTGTTATTCCTGGACCTAACCAGTTCTAGTGTTATATGAGAAATATATCATGACCATAGCAGGGCTCTAACCTACCACTTCTGGGTTAAAGTGGCTAGCACCTACACTGTAACAACTAGAAAAATTCTACCATTATGAAATTATGGTTTAGTTCATTTAAGCCCCAGCTTCTGAACATAAAATCTATTACATGTATTTCTGAAAAGATTTTCTGAATAAAAAATTTAAGTAAAGATTTTCATTTAGATGTGACATGATGTTACATTTTGTCTAATAAATAATTAATGTTTCCTTTTACACATACATTAGGATTTCCTATTTTTCCAGGAAATTATCCAGGAAAGAAGAACTAGTTTGAACAATACAGATTACAAAGTAGAACATCTACATATCATGTAGCAATAGAATTATCGGCTTTGCCCTTTATCATCAAAGAACTTTGATGGAATGGGAAGATGAGCAATTATCAACTAATTGCCACTAGAGAATTACATATACATTATCGTCACCTAAGTGCAGTAATGGGTTAAGTCCTTCTTAATTTAATAGGAGTTAAACAGTTATTGCACTATGGTGACGATATAAATTGTACTAAGGTGATGATACATGACTGTAATATAGAGCCAGGCCACAGACTATATATATAAATTATTGTTGTCTCACTCAGAACAGGTTTTTCTGCAGCTGGCATTTTGTAAAGAACACCACAAAAAGCAATTATAGTACATCTGGAAAATTAGACCAACACTACATCATTATCATAATTTTTTTCAAATCCCTTTCAAGTAAATACTTTTTATGTTTTATTTTAGTTTTCACATAAAATTATACACTCTTATAGACTATGCTAGCTTCCACTGATAGTTTAAAGAAATATTAAATCTCGAATCTTTGATCTAAAACTTCAATATAAATCATAATACATTTTTACATGCTAATTCTCAATAAATATCAGTAGTTAAAATGTACACAGCTCTACAAAAGAACATTACAATGTCAAGTTTCCTGTGAACTTAAGCTGACAATGTACTGACTAAAGCCGAGTGGTGCACGAGGGCCTAGCACTGTGTCTGGCAGCTTGAAAGGCAGGCCCTATGCTAAGCACCAACAACCATTTTCAGGGCTAATACAACCGTTTCATATTGTCTCACTTTACTGTACATTTTGGTTCTCATTGACAGCTATTCCAGACTTTGCATGCATATAGTTTTACTGATACAGTATCAGGTTCTTTTATCATTTTTCTTTCTTAAAATTAGCACACATTTGCCAGGATATTTAATTCAATACAAACGAGTATATTATGAATTATTTCATGGTACTGTAGAAATTACATGTAAATCATTAGTTTTGGAGTTTTGGATATTATAATGTTTTACTACAATAACATCAATCAAACAGTGGAGGTATAATTGAAGTGTGAATAAAAAAATTTCTTAAGCTATAAATATAAATCATCTTGTTCAAAGACATTGTATTGTAACTTATCCAGTATCTTTACAGACATCAATGGACTATTGTGGCTTTATGGCCATTATTTGGTATAATACTTGTTTATTTGGTATAATACTTGTTTATTTGGTATAATACTTGTTTATTTGGTATAATACTTGCAAAAAATAAACATGTGACTGCGAAAAATTACTTTTAGGATCAGAGTATACAGCGAAAACTTGAAATAGGATAAAAAAAAAATTGTGATAAAAAACAACTTTTGGTGAACAGTATAGATAATCTCCAATAAAGTGAAGCCAAATAAAATTTCCCCAATTTCCATTTTTATGTAGACATAAATGTAGATAAAAATCTATTGTTCAAACATGACCCTGATGGTCCATGCTATCTACCACAAAGGAATTCTATTCACCACAAATAGATTACACCTCTGCTTGTTTTATACAAATCGTTTCCAAACAATTGAAATTTTATTCATTTATAAAACACTGATAATAGATTTTGAAGTCAACATTAATATCAGAGGCCTTATAATAGTCGTGTTAAGATTATCTTTGAGATTATGAAAGTACTACTTAAATTAAATTCTAGTTTTCATTAGAAAATACTACATGCTAACCAGTTATAAGTTAAAGTACAAAATGCACTTTTAAGGCTGCTTCCAAAAAGTAATGGCCATTTGTTTTGTTATAAAACAAGAGCTACTGTCTAGTTTCAAACAATGGACTAGATGATAAACTAATTAGACGGAAAAAAATTGTCTTTCTTAACTGATACAGCTCAAGTTTTAAAACCCCCACTTTATTCAAAAGTGCTTGATTTGTTTTATTCCCCTGTAAAGGAGCATAACAGTCCAGGCTCTAATTTAATTTGTTTGCAGATCAATTCAAGTATTTTTTTAAGCAATTTCCCTTAAACTTTGAGTGGACTATTCCAAATTCAAAGTACTGGGCAAATTCATTATAGAAATTCAGCAGGTTAGGGTGAAGTTATCTATTTCTTATTATTTCTCTTCACAGACCTTCTTTTTACATACATTGTAATTTTAACCAATTTTGTTGTTTTTGATGTTTTATGTATTTGTGTTTATCACTAACAACAATACCTTCAAATGTATATTATTAAAATTGACATAATATTGGTATCTAATAAACTTGTTTTTTGCATTTTTTGTATAGATTATTACATAAAAGATTGGTTTTAAATGAGACACCTTGAAACAACTGTGATATAATGTTATTGTAACAGATTAACAGAATGATTATAGAAAATAATGCTTTATCGTCAATGTTGTATTTCATGCATAAGCGTGATTAACAATTTGGTAAATAAATATTTTACTATTAAGGTGAATAAATAAGAATGAAACATGCATGTGCATGATCCAAAGTGTATTAACATAGACATGAATTAGTTTTGTAAAACTTAAGATAAACAATGCTTATCATCATGCTCATCAAAAAGAGGATTATTGTTTTAAAAATAATTGTAGCAAGAAAAAAAGATTAGGCAAAAAAAAAAAATGAAATTTGAAATAATTCCATACTCGTGACCAAACACTTTGTTATATATTTTTTAATAGTTTACAAACAAAGTAGCAGACAATATCTCTTACAATTTACAGACAATGTTCATTAAATATGAAAGACAATATAACTTATATAATGACTTTAAGGCTGTTGGCAGCAAATGAGTCTACCCATAAGACCATTGCTGCACTGATCGACAGGGCTGTAGACCAAGGTCACAGCTAGGTACCTCATCTTAGCTGAGGTGGACATGGTCTGTTCTCTCATTGGTCCGCAATGTTTCTTACCAGTATTTTAAAAAATTTCCTGATAATGATGAATGGTGTTGCACAAAATGAAAGATTGGTAAATCTCTTTTACATATATTTTGTGTGCACACTGGGTTATTAAGTTTTCATTCTTATTATCATAAAAAATAGGAGTAACTATATTTTTAACAGAATTGTATTTGTAAAAAAGTAGCTTTGAAAAGAAAATCTGAATTGAAAAAGAAAAACATGAATTGAAAAAGAAAAATAAGAATAATAATTAAAATTTGAGCAGACCATTATAGCCTTCAGGGTTTACTAAACTAGTATAATAATACAATCTTAATTTTACTTTTAAAATTTAAAAACCAAATTATAACTTCCTGATACCAAGAAAATCTTACTGAGATTTTAAAATTTGAAAGCTTATTTCATTTTAAAACAATAACAATGAGATAAGGGAGTATATGAACCATATGATAAACAAAAGTATAAGTGGTATTATAATCACTGTATTTGCCTAATCAATGAATGACAATGGTATAATAAAGAACAATCTTTTGTACTCTGTATTAAGGTCACCACCACTCACCCAAATAAACAAGAATAATCACTCCGCTGGTGTTTTTTTTCATATTGTATTTATTTAAAATAGATACTTCCTTATAGATTGTGGGTGTTTGTAGGTAGATTTCAAACCTCAACTAACATAATGGTCTTTGAAATAAAACAAAGAAAAGTAAGATAAATATTGATGCTAATATTGGATCTTTACACATGCCCACCTCACTTCAATATAGGGCATTGTCAAAAACTACAGCCCTTTGAATAAGTTAACTTACATTAAATATTTTTCAGTTTAAATTCTTTGCAGTACAGGTTTTCTGTTACATGTTTAACAGTGATGGATGACTGGTTTAGAAAAAGATAAAATTTGATGATTTTATAGCTCTTTATTTACCATTTAGTACTAAGAGCATAGCTAGGAGCTTTGAGAGGTCATAAAAGTCCTTTTCACAAGGATAAATCAGAGTTCAAACACTTAGAGTAAAATGACAGTAGAAATTTTGAACTTATCCCCAATTTGGAATAATGTTAAGTAGAATTTGTAACCATTTGGCATAAAGTTGTCAAAGTCATAGAATGAGCCTGGATAATACAGAATTTTCTAAGTTCAAAATTCAAAAAGGGCCATAATCATAATTCTATCAAAATCCATGTTAAAGTTATGGGCCTTAGACAGTGACCTCCTATTATGCCCTCATATAAGTGTGTGAAGCTTCAACCCATTCGCTTCAGTATTTTTAGAGATACCAACTTTCAGGTAAAAATTTAACAAAAGAGTACCGAAGACAAATGGGTGAGTACAATGGTTCTCCCTATTCTTCAAACAGTCGAGTAAAAATGGAAAGAAACATATAAATACATAGAGAGGATATTTGTTTAGTTCTGTGTAATATCAGAATATATTTCACCGAGTGAGCACCAAAAGGTATATTTCACTCGTGGCGCAGCCACGAGTGAAATATGAACTTTTGGTGTTCACAAGGTGATAAATATTTCGATCTTACACTAAACTAAACAAATTTTCTTTTTATTATATGCAAAGAAACTTTTTAAAAAGACATTAAGCCTATAACGGAATCAAAAGCGACAAATAACAATACAACATGTCATTTACAAAGTCATGTCATTAAGGTGGTTCCCAGTACTGTGCACGCTGGTATTTCACTGAAACAACGTAAGGGGCTAAAATTCAAAACAAATTTGATAATTTCACTGTTTAAAACAGTGAAATTGTCAGTTTTATATCACTGATATATTTCTATTATCCACCAAAAAATATGTAATAAAAAGATATAATATATAATACCTGGTCAGCATATTTTGATCCGGAAGCTTCCAAATAGCCATCTGACCTCTCATTATATTCACTGTGTGACCAGTAGGAATGATCAAATGCAAATCTCTTGGGTTCACTATTCAAGTCCTCAGGATTCTTTATTTCTGTAGAGTTGCCATTCATGGCAATGATGAGGGTTGCATTTCTTGCAGTCTCGCGTGAATTGTGCACAATGGTTAAGGAAAATTTAAGATATAATTTTGCTTAAACATTTTTTTTTAAGCTTGATTGTTCAGAAAGCTTATAGCTCATCTGAACCATTGTTGAGTCCGCAGCCTGAAACTAACCTGTACTGATATTGAAACTTGATTATGATCCAGTCTAGAATTGTACTCATGATCCCCGAGTTGAGAGGTAGACACATTAACTGCGGGACTCGCTCCCTTCCAGCATAACTAAACTTTTAATATAATTTAAAGCACCATAATCAACTTCAAGGGTGATAACTCTGCTTAAAATTGAACAAATGGTACATGTATATTGTACCATCATGATTTATTAGATTGAAGTAGCAACTTTAAGCATCAGCAATGCTTTACCTTCCATAAAATGATTTGTTGAAAAAAAAGAAAATATACCATTATCTTTAAAACCTTACAGCTAGTGTACTATAATGGAGTTGACTGTGACAGGACCAACCCTCCAATAAAGCTACTGGTAGAATTTAGAAAACAGAAGCAAAGACATATACAGATAAAACTGTTTCAAACAATTGCATTTAAAGGACAAACATTCTTATTTATCACCTACATGTATTAATAAAACTGGAACTAGAAAAACCACACCTTATAAAATATTGTTGTGTAACAGGACGGACAGTGATCGCAATTAACGTCCTAGTTATTTACCCAGGTTCATTTAAGATTACATTAAATTCAAATAAGAAGAACATAGGCATTTCAGAGTTCAACAGTTTTATTGCAAAATAGATTGTAGATAATCTTTCTCTATGCCAAAATATCAAATTGATTTCTTAAAGTACCAAGAAATGAAAATGTTAGTTTCCAAAAAAAAAAAAAACATTGGAAAAATAGAGTATAATGACAAAGTCAGGTGATAATAGGTATACACTACCTTTGGTATCTGTAGACAAGGCAATAAAATGACCGTAAAAATACTGGCTTATATAGCCACTTCTCTCTGCAATCACACAATCCATGAAAAATGCATGACTTGAAAACAAATAACAAAAAGAGGAATGTTACAAAATATTGAGTAAACAATATCAAGAATAAATATTTTGCTGTACAAATGAATTGAAATGTGTTCAGTTAAATTTAGTGAACAACCCTCTATTAGATAAAAACCTTACATAAGATATGACTAGCATGAATATCCTGAAATAATGCATTAAGTTATGCTTACTGTTACTACATGTATAGATAGAAAAAATATTGCCGGCTGAATGATTTTGAAAAGATACCAAATGTATTGACAATTAATTAATAAGGCTAAGGAAAAATATTCATTGTTTATATACATCTTTTATTCTGAAAGTAAAATGTAATGTAAGGCATTCCTGCTACAGTCGTCATCATAAATGTACTAGTTATAACAGAGCAGGACAAACACCAACTTTTTTTTTAACTTGTTAAACTTTTGTGTTTTCTGTAAAAACAATGTAACAGTTTCATAAGATAAATGACCATGAGGTGGTTAGGCATTGTCCTGAACACTGGCTATCAAGTTGGTTAATTATTTTGAAATGGGCAGCTCGAAATACCCAAATATACCCAAATACACCAAAATATTGCCCAAACATACCCAAATGTTGCCTAAATATACACAAATATTGCCCAATTTATTAAAAATAAATTTTTTATACTAAAAAAGTGCTGTTTTAATCATGAATACAATATACACTTTCACTAAGATATAATTAAACATACCCAAATATACATTTTCCTGAACCATATTACATACAGTATAATTATGTACTCCATCAAAGCTATTTTTAAATAACATGGACACTTGTATATGATATGAAATTTCAACAAAATTACACCTTAAAAATGTAAGTGTAGACAACAAATATCATATCTTGATTTAAAATTGCAAGTACATTCATAAAGAACCTATATAGAAGATAAGCAAATGTAACAACTTTATTTTCTTACAACATCTTAACTGCCCATTTCAACGGAATGAATGAAAGTTATAGCAGGCTATGTCATATTATTATATAAATACTTATTAATTCATCATTATAATCTATATTTCATACAAACAAAAATAAATATTGCTATATTTGGGTATATTTGGGTGTATTTGGGTATTTCGTGCCGCCGTTTGAAATAAGGGCTTAGACTCATTGATTTTACTTGCTGTACATGTATCTTAACTTAAAAATATACATATCTATCAGTGTTACATGTTCAATGATGACAGTCAATAATCAAAGGAAATAACATTTATGTAAATCTACTATGTTAAAAGTGGTGCTATGTGTGCAACACATCTTTTGATTCCTGTGATATCGGCTGGGATGCTGTACCTGCTGGGAGTGATGTGTAATTTCTGTACATGAAGATAATTAAAATGTTGCATATATTAAAGCTGCAACATATCATTGAAGTTATCTCTCAACCAGTGTCGAACTTAAATTTCACAGTAAAAACTGCAATCAACTGAAAAACTCGACTTATTGAATTTGATGAAGTACGTTCTATAAATAAGTGGAAAAGGAAGTGGCTAGCTGTACTGAGTATTGGCTTAATAAATAAGCAATTACTGTAATGTTAGCCAAAAGTTCTAGCCATATGTAAGTCACATACGGTTAGCCTACACACACAGTAAACTCCAGTCATAAGGCATTTTTTTTTCAATTATTAATATATGCAATGATGTAGTTAGTAACTTGCACATCTTATTACATTTTCATAGAAGAATGAACATACAAATGTATATTTTTTCTAAATAATTTTACCTTCAGAGAGACATTCACATATTCTAATTTTCAGTAAAACTATTTGCAATGACATAAAAATCATCACTTGCCTTCAAAAAAAGACTAAAAACAAATCCATTAACGATATTAAAAAAATTTCTTTGAAGTAAAAGGATATAAATGGTCGCACACGAACTGCAACTTTCACGTTTTCAGCCGCCGCCATCTCGATTTCTTCTTCAAAGTTTGATTTCAAAATAAAGACACGTTTAACAACTTATGCAGATGTCAAAATAAGTTAAATAAGAAGCTTTAATCCACAACACCGAATAGTATATTGACTTAAATGTTCCAATATTTTGCACTGAAAGTATTTGACAGTTGCGAAATGAAGAAATCACCCGACCAGGTGCTCGAAGTATGTCACTTCCGTAAACAAACAAATGTATTTATAGCAACGGGAAAATGTTGAACACCACTAAATATTTTTCTTCTACAATACATGTATGAAATGAACCAGGGATATTTAAGATATCCATGACAATTCTCATTTATCATTTCATTTCTTGCATGGTTCTCATTATTTCATAATTACATGTTGAATAAGGTCTCAAATACATAAAAATATGGTACAATGCGCATTGTAAATTTATATAAGGATTGTTACAATATCATAATTATGATGTTTAAAGGTCGATCATAATTATGATGTCAGACACAACATGAATTAAAAATCCAACTGACAACCCTACATACTTGCATAATGTTCCATCTTTAAGTGGATTTACTTGCCCATTTTTCATGAATATATTTTCAGGGGCAAAAAGTAGCATGAAAAATAAAAGAAAAATGGCCCACTTGCTACAGTCCTTCTAACTGGGAAGATGGATATCCTTTTCCAATTTTCAAAGAACTGCTTATGTTATAATAGCACTACTAAATGATTAAATTTCATTCTACTGTTTATCACATTCCCATCATACACAACTGCATATAAAGCCTCAGATATTAATACATGTACATCTTTCTTTCTGTAGAAAGAACAAACATTTCAATGTTGGGGCCATATCCAGATATTAAAAATAAGTATGAAAACTATGGAATCCAAAATGTGCCACCTTTGCAAATGTGTTTTAATATGTTATGATTTTTGAAAGCCTTAAAAGAACAGATTTACATACTAGCTGACAAAATTGACTTACAAGCTAGAAGGGCGATACCAAAATGACCATGACAAGCAGGCCTCTAGAGGCAATTTTCCTTCAACTACAGATTTGTGAAGAACCTTATAACAAATTTTGTTGCTAATCCGCAATGGAATCATACAAATGGAATGGTGATTGTTGGCTCCAGAACATGGTGATTTTTAAGAAATTTCGTAGACTTTACATATTGAAAGAATAAATTGCAGACACAACAAGAACTGTCGGAGGACAGTAACGCTCGACTATTCGAAAATTTGTCACAAGGGTGTTTCATTGATTATAATAATGCTTACCTATATGAATACATAAAATTGTCCGAAAAGGTACAAACCCTTCAAGTTTCAATACATTCCCTTCAGTAGTTATGGAGATACAAGCTTACACACAAAAACTTAACCAAGAATTTATGAATCCAAAAAGGGGCATTATTATGCGAAAAAGAAAATCCGAGTTATGGGACTTGTGCCAATCATCTTAGATAATCACAGACAACAAGAGTGTTAAGTTTCAATCCATTCCCTTCAGTAGTTATGGAGATACCAGCTTACACGCAAAAAATTAACCAAGAATTTCTAAGTCCAAAAAGGGGCATAATTATGTTAAAAAGCAAATCAGACTGATGGGACTTGTGTCAATCATCTTAGATAATCACAGAGAACAAGTGTGTGAAGTTTCAATCTATTCCCTTCAGTAGTTATGGAGATACCAGCTTACACGCAAAAACTTAACCAAGAATTTCTAAGTCGAAAAAGGGACATTATTATGTAAAAAAGCAAATCAGAGTTATGGGACTTGTGCCAATCATCTAAGATAATCACAGAAAACAAGTGTGTGAAGTTTCAATCCATTCCCTTCAGTAGTTACGGAGATACCAGCTTACACGCAAAAACTTAACCAAGAATTTCTAAGTCGAAAAAAGGGGCATTATTATGTAAAAAAGCAAATCAGAGTTATGGGACTTGTGCCAATCATCTTTGATAATCACAGAGAACAAGCGTGTGAAGTTTCAATCCATTCCCTTCAGTAGTTATGGAGATACCAGCTTACACGCAAAAACTTAACCAAGAATTTCTAAGTCGAAAAAGGGGCATTATTATGTAAAAAAGCAAATCAGAGTTATGGAACTTGTGCCAATCATCCTAGATAATCACAGAGAACAAGTGTGTGAAGTTTCAATCCATTCCCTTCAGTAGTTATGGAGATACCAGCTTACATACAAAAACTTAACCAAGAATTTCTAAGTCCAAAAAGGGGCATTATTATGTAAAAAAGCAAATCAGAGTTATGGGACTTGTACCAATCATCTTAGATAATCACAGAGAACAAGTGTGTGAAGTTTCAATCCATTCCCATCAGTAGTTAATATGGACATACCAGCTTACACGCAAAAACTTAACCAAGAATTTCGAAGTCGAAAAAGGGACATAATTATGTAAAAAAACAAACCAGAGTTATGGGACTTGTACCAATCATCTAAGATAATCACAGAGAACAAGTGTGTGAAGTTTCAATCTATTCCCTTCAGTAGTTATGGAGATACCAGCTTACATACAAAAACTTAACCACAAATTTCTAAGTCGAAAAGGGGCATAATTATGTAAAAAAGCAAATCAGAGTTATGGGACTTGTGCCAATCATCTTAGATAATCACAGAGAACAAGTGTGTGAAGTTTCAATCCATTCCCTTCAGTAGTTATGGAGATACCAGCTTACATACAAAAACTTAACCACGAATTTCTAAGTCGAAAAAGGGGCATAATTATGAAAAAAAGCAAATCAGAGTTATGGGACTTGTGCCAATCATCTTAGATAATCACAGAGAACAAGTGTGTGAAGTTTCAATCCATTCCCTTCAGTAGTTATGGAGATACCAGCTTACATACAAAAACTTAACCACAGGGACGCCGACGCCGACAAATGGGTGACTGCGAATAGTCGAGCTAAAAAGGGACTATAGCTTCTCATGGTCATTATTCGAGGGTTTGAAATTTTCTTCGACTTATTTTGCCATAAATATGAACCTCCAAACTATTGTTAATAATGGCAAATCTGCAAAGAAATTAGGGGGAAAATTAAGGACAGCCACTGAAAATTGTGCTTCTTTCAACAATTTGTAGATTCTATAATTATATCCTTAGGAGTACTGTTACTTTTACCAAGCATCTTCTTAGAAAATTCCCTCTCTCAGTTTACAAGGCCATAACTCTGACAAACAAGAACCAGTTGAACGGGATGATGCTCCCAGATTGGTTTTGGACACAGAAAAGTACACCTCTTGTAGTTTCAGAGTTATGTGCCTGACAAAGTTTAAAGTGCAATAATTCAAAACTTATGCAAGACAGAGTAACTTTTCTTTGCACTGCACATCTAAACAATGATATCTATCTACCTACAAAGTTTCTTGTTCATATCTCTTATAGTGCAAGAATTATGTCCAGAACAAAGTTCAAAATGTAAATATGACCAAAGGGCAATTACTCCAAAATTAGGCAAGGCAAAGTTACAGTTCTTGTGCACTCCACATCAACCCAATGGGATCTATCTACCTACAAAGTGTCTTGTTCATATCTATTATACTTTTAGAACTATGTCCTGGACAATGTTCATGCAAAGTGTAAATATGGACAAAGGGCAATACATTTAACTCCAAAATTAGGCAAGGCAGAGTTATGGTTCTTTTGCACTGCACTTCTACCTAATGAGATCTATCTACCGACAAAGTTTTAAAGTTTTATGTCGAAATCTCTTCTATTTTCAGAGTCATGTCCCAAACAAAGTTCAATGTGTTAAAATGAACAAAGGGCAATAACTTCAAAACTAGGCAAGGCAGAATTACGGTTCTTGTGCACTGAACATCTACCCAATGAGATCTATCTAACTACAAAGATTCAAGTTGATACCTCTTGTTGTTACAAAGTTATGTCCTGTACAAGAAAAGCAGACGGAGGGACAGACAGACGGACAACCTGACAGATGGATAGACCGGTGGACAAAGTGGCAACTATATGCTCACCCTTAGGGGTGCATAAAAATATTGAAGGGAAAAATGCCAATGACAAGCACCACTAGACTTGGTACTGATAATTCCTGTAGAGTTTGGATGAAATTGCATAAGTAATCTGGACAAGCTTCTGTGTAGCTTGCAACACAAAAAAATAACCCATCTTTTTTATTGAAGGGCCATAACCCGACCCAAAATCATTCAACTGGAAAACCAGTGTAATATGCCCAAGTACTTGAGCTCCAGAAGATTTTCATAGAAATTGCATTAGTTGTATAAGAGGAGACAAACTTTAAAAGTAACAATTAAAAATCAAATTAAAGGGCTATAACTCTGACAAAAAGCATTGAACTGGAAGTGCCAATAGTAACTAGACTTAGTACTGATAGTTCCTGTTAAGTTTGGATCAAATTGTGCCAGTAATTTTTGAGGAGAAGTTCTGTGACTGTTGGAATAGACAGAAGACGGAGAAGTGATCCCTATATGTCACTGCTACTTTGTAGAGGTGTCACAAAAAGGGGGTATAACTTGGCAAAAGTTAATTTTAGGATTATCTGAAATGTGTCATAATTTGATAGTAAACATGTATACAAAGTTTGAAGTGAATAACTAAAGGTTTCTGAGACAAGGGAGTCATGATGGCCCTGCATCACTCACCTGAGGATATCGACCAGATTTAGTTTGCAGGATATTCTTGCTCAACAGATCTGAACAATTTCAGTGATTATTATAAAGGGCTATCTTATGGTCATCACTATACAGTGTCATCAAAATCTACCTTGTGGTAAAGAAGGAAATGTAGTTTAAAGGTTTATCTATTTTCAGCTCTGATGGCCATTATGTTTAGGAAACCTGAACAATTAAAGAACAACCTATAGATAATTTCTGTAGCGTTCATGCATCTGAGAAAGAGATGTTATTTATTTCTGTTGAAAGTTTATTTCTTTTTTTAGTTTAAGCGGCCATCTGTTTTTCAACAGACCAGAACAATTTTAAAAAAAAATTGTAAAAAAAAAAAACACTTGTTGGTCATTGCTGTAAAATCACAAAATATACCAAGACGTTGAGGAAGAGATGTTGTTGAAGGTTTTCTATTTTAAGCTGCTTACCCTAAAAGATCATTCCTGTATATTTCTATCGTCAAAGCAGTATAGGAATTGCAAAACGTTTTTTTTTATCTCTTTTAAAAACATAAACACAAATCTGGAGGAATGCTGTCTTGCGAAATGTTTTAATATTCCAAATTTATGTGACACACTTTTTATCACAATATTTCTAACTCTCAAATTGACTTAAATTTTAACAATCATCAATAACAATCATAATTAAATACAAATTTGAATTCTTATTCGGAAAACTTAAAATGCAAAATAGCGAACAAGATTAAAACTACAAATGTATTACTTCATAAACATTTAACAGAAACATAATTGTAACAACATATGATTTAGTATAGTTAAATCAATGCAAGTGACTAAATTCAACATAAATTTACTTAAAACCAAAATAAAAGTGGTGCAACAATATACCATATATTGCACAAACAAAACATAAACACTGATATTAAGATCAGATCATGTGATATAACTGATATTACATGTATATAATTGCGTCTGCAGATACTGTAATTTGCAAAATCTCTAAACAATGTACATGTCAGAAGTTACAACATTTTTTTTTTAAGCTCAACATTTTTTAAATTTGCCAATTTTAATTTTACTCCTAAATTTCCCTTTTTTCCAAATGAAATTGCAAAATACTCTACTTTTTACCTTGACAATTTCTATCCATTTAAACCAACCCTCTTTCATGCTATAATATTGGAATGGAAACACAACTTGTGACTTAACTGAATTTTATCAAGAAATAAATCAGTGTTACATTATCTGCTCTTTAGATCTTTTATTTGAGACCAGCATCAAAAACAAATGCATTGGTATTAAAGGTAAAAAGAAAAAAAAACAACTTCAAGTTGGTATCATTTGTTCTAGATTAAATGACATGTGTTGTCATTTCAAAAAGGTTTTTACACATTTATTTACGAGGCTTGAAAAAGACAAAATGTGAAAACATAATCGAGCCGGTCACGACAAAACCAACATAGTGCGTTTGTGACCAGCATGGATCCAGACCAGCCTGCGCTTCCTCGCAGTCTGATCAGGATCCATGCTGTTCGCTTACCAACTCTATTACAAGTAGAGAAACTGATAGCGAACAGCATGGATCCTGATCAGACTGAGCGGTTGCGCAGGCTGGTCTGGATTGATCAGACTGAGCGGTTGCGCAGGCTGGTCTGGATCCATGCTGGTCGCAAACGCACTATGTTGGTTTTGTTGTGACGGGGCTCATATTTTTTAATCTGACAGAGAGAAATATAACATGAAATATTGCAGTACAAGAGTTCTGTACCATGGTATGCATTGCCTGATGCTGCATCGAAATATACCGGTATATTGCCGTATTATTGCACCTCTTTTTTATCAGTGTTTATTGTATAGCTGTTCTCCTACATACATGTAATAAGGATATATACAAGTTTATATGTACTTCCATATTAAACTTTAAAAAATAAAGAAACCTTTAAAAAAAAAACCAAAAAGCACAGAGTAAGCATGATAGTAGTAATAACTTGAGACTAGAAACTGAATACTTTGTATAGAATTATGGCACAATATAATCTTTTCTAATCAACATCCTTTTTCTTTTAAACACTTTACTGCTAATTACAAACCTTTCGAGGTACACATTAACTTATGATTACTTTTTAGTCAATGACTGTAACCCACTGTTTAAGGTATGTTGAGTTTTAAAATGTCTGTCTCGATTACTTGCACTTGAAAAATCTTGATTACAAGCATCGCATGTGTATACGTCCCCAGAATGCAGCTTCATATGAGCCGTCATGTTTATTTTTAGCTTTGATCTATGATCGCATATCTCACACTTGAATGGAAGTTCTTCTTGATGCACGGCACTATGACGTTTCATATCAATAATTTGAACAAAAGTTTTCTCACAGTGTAAGCAAGCGTAAGGACGCACCCCTGTATGATATCTCATGTGCCGATTAAAGTAACTATCATCTTTGAATGCCTTTTTGCAAATTTTACAGACATACGGACGTTCATTTGTATGCTTCCTCTCATGTAATATTAACTGTCCTCGGACTGAGAAGCCTTTATTACATATAGCACACACGTGATCTTTGACCTTGTCATGTATACATTTGATATGCTTCTGAAGATGTGCTTTTTGTTTGAAACACTTGAAGCAATAATCGCAGACAAACTTTCGCTCATCGTGTACCCTCATATGGTTTCTAAGATACGATCTACACATAAACTCTTTCTGGCACACATTACATATATACATGTTTTCGTCTGTGTGGGACTGTTCATGCTTGAACAAAGATCCTTTGCCCCTAAACAATAAGCCATAATCCTCACGGACTAAAGAGTGTTCATCATTGAGAATATTCATGTGCTCATCCAGGCTCTTATTGCTTGATAAAGTCTCACCACAAACTCTGCAATTAAAATGAATATGTGTACATATAAATGTTTTTAAGTCTTCAGTCATATTTTTGTGGCTTTTGCACCAACACTGTAAAGAACATAATTATGCTTAAAATGTTGGAGAAAGACCTTCCCCAAATTATTAAAATTAGGTAAAACTTGATCAAATTGTTAAAGTGTCTCCTTATTAAAGCGGAGATCAATGTGGGTTTGAGACCTACTAAGGTTAGGACCATACATGTATTAATTAATATGACATCAGTAGTGATTGAAATAAGTCTCAATCTTTCACGGGCTAAAATGAATGCAGATATTTTCAATATTTGAAAGTGCTTTCCCCTAATATACCAAGTGCATCTCTTATAACTTACACATGCTATTTCAATACATGTAGTTCTTGAAGACAAATGGGAGATATTTTCTAATATAACAGTATATAAAAGAAATACATACATGCGATCTAACTTTGATGATTTTTGTGAACTCTTCTTGTTGAAATCTAGCTTTGTAACATCCAACTTCTTCTCAGATGTTTTGAGCTTCTTAATACTACTTCCTGTACTAAAGTCAAGGTCATCCCCATGCTTGTGGTACATGTGATTATCATAGTAAAACTCAGAAGAAAATGTAATATTACACTCGCTGCAGTATGCCCTAGCTGGAAAATATTTTGGACACAATTATATCAATCAACAATGACAACAGCAAGTGTGTAGTCATGCAAATATAAAAATAGTCATACTGTAAAATTCGTATTAAACGCCCCCAGGGGCTTAACATTTTCCAAAAGGGGGGCTATTATTACAACACATTTTTCCTTATTCAAAAAATCACTGTAAATACATTTAGTGTTGGTAATAACATTTAAAAGTGTTAAGGTTTTAAAGTTCAAATTATACATATTTGTGTTTACTATAAAATAAAATGGATTCTGAATGATTTGAATAATATTTAATTATGAGTTCAGCACTGATGATTAGATTGTTTTCCTCGGGGAGCCTTTATTAGGGGATGGGGCGTTTATTAGGAGTTTCACGGTATTTTTTAAAGCTGTTCATACCCCACTAAGAAATATTTTTTTATTTATGATTGAGATGGAAAGTTTGGTGTTTTTGTTCTATTTAGATCTGTTCTGATGGCAAAAGCTAATCATCTTCAGTTTCAACAGGGCTAAGGGTTAAAATGACCAATTATATAAGAAAACATCATTGCTATACACTTATCAATTATTGTTTTGGATTAGCATTATCATTCCTTGCAATCTGAGTGGCCTTTTATAATGTATTATATTGTATAATTGTACTAATTTTTCTAAAGTTTCAAATGAAGGATAATGTTCATCATCTCGACATATTTCTCAATGACCTTATTCCATTTTGAGCACTTGTTCACTTATCAATTTATGTCATAATCTAAGATCCTGAAAAAAAGCAGAATGTAAGCATATTTTCACTGTAAAAAGTGTAATTAATGTACAAATGAAAACTGATTACAAAGCAAACAACTCTTAATACTTACAAGAAACAGAACTGCTTGAAAGGGTCTTTTTCTTCTTGACATTCTTACCGCGGACTGTCTTCACAAGAACTGAATTTTTGTCCCTTTTTCTTTCCATCTCTTGTTCACTTTTATCTTTTGATTTTCTGTCAGCAGGATTGATCTTTTGGCTTATTTCAGTCATACTTTTGCCTATTTTTTTTCTTTGAGGAGATCTCTTTGGGCTATATTTCTTTGGAAGGGTTTCTTCTTCATCTGTAATTTTCTTTGCATAGCTATTTGGACTAGAACTTTTTCTTTTACTCCTCTTTAAAGGACTCATAGAACTTAAAGAAGTCACCGAACTTGTGGTATCTATTAAGAAGAAAAAAAAGAACATTTTGAAAACTGACTTTTTCATTTTTTGTATATTAGTAACAATTGTTAAAACATTCTAAGTAACACATAGACTTCCTATAGCCATAACTGTTTACATACACAGTTTAAAAGATTAAGTAAGATTTTTACTCAAATGATATTACATGCACATGATGTTTTGAAGGTACATAATGTGCATTGCTTTCAAATTTTATCAACTTTTCTGCACATTTGCAACAAATTGTTTCTTTTTCTGGTAAGATCATCTACAGGTATATTTTGGTCCCAGTGTTATTTGTTCATTTTTTTTGCGGTAAGGTGGAGAGTACTATCAGGTGAGGGGGAGTTATTGGGGAGATGTGTTGTTAACAGAACCTTTGGGAGAAAATTTAAACCAGCAAGGCATATCCATACTGCTTTCCTTTATATAATAAGTCCAAAACGTCAAGGGTTTTTCTCTTTTTTTGTGAAATATAAAGGGGGCAGTTGTTCTAAAATTGGGGAAACTATATTTGAGGAATAGGCCAAATTTCAGCCTCAAGTGGGCAAATCAATGAACCCATAGCAAATTTAATGACAGAGAAAGATCCAAGGAGCCACTGAATCCATTATTTCAGTAATTATGTGCGTTCCAGTCTAATACAGTACATTCAATACCTGTATTGGACTGGAACCCACAGCAGTGGTGAGTGACAAGTGATTTGTAAAAACTTTGACCATTTTCCCATAGAAACAATATACATGTATATCCCTTCTTATTATAAGTTAATCTTCTGAATTTCATAATCAAATGAATTTCTCCAGCTTCTATTTTTGTAACTTACAAAAGTGTCCATTATCAGCTTTAAGGATATCAAGTAACCAAGCCATAAATATATAGAGTCTCATTAGGTTGCAGGGACTCTATACTGGTGGCAAAGGCTCATCACTTTTGGTTCCAGCATGGTAAGGGCTAAATTGTAATTGTACCATTAACTATCAATAGTTACTGGTCAGTTAACTCTAATTTACATGAATTATTTATTAAATTTACATGAACTATTTATTAAATTTACATGAATTATCTATTAAATTTACATGAATTATTTATTAAATTTACATTCAAGAATTATTTATTAAATTTACATGAATTATCTATTATTAAGTGATGTGAATGTTAAATATTTGTTTTTTGGTATTCCTTAAAAAAAAAGAAAAAAAAGAAATCACAACAAAACTAACATGTATTGTAAATGATACCTTTTACATTAGTATCAGCACTTTGATGCATTTTTACTGTAACAGCTATACTGCTCTTTCTCAATGCCTGTCTCCCTACTAAATCATTACTCCATTGTTCAAACATCCTATAAAAGTAAACAGCAAATAAAGGTACATGTATGATAAATGTACAATAAGATATTTTAACATGGACTTTCCCATACAGTTAAAATGGTCTCTTAGGACAACAACCAATCAATTTTATGAAAATTAACATGAATCTAGAGGCATGCTGCTTTAAAAGATTCACTTGTCCTTAGAGGCTGCAGAACAACTTGGGAAATATTGTCAGTTAATTTTGGCATGCCTGATCAGATACTATGTAAATATATTTATAGGTTGGTCAAACAGTATCAGTGTTCGCGTTTACTGAGTAAACATATCAATTTACTCGCTAAAATTGCCAGGGAGGAAAGAAAAAAAGGGCTGTTGAGTCCCTGGGACGAAACACTTTTTCCCCGATAATTGGTCAATTCTCTCTTAAGTTTTTTTGCTCTGCTTGAAAATGATTTTCTATTCACTTTAAATAAATTGTATTATAAGAACTTGACTTTCACCTCATTTTCATTTGTTCCTTTCTCATTAGCAATGCAGATTTATATCCCAAACGTAGACTAGGAGCAAGTGCTCGGCCTCGTTTTGGGCCAACCTATCAATGGTATCCGCGAACATCAACAGTCTCAAATTTGATTGTATTATGAAGTTATGCAAACATTGACATTTTTGTAATTGAGGACTCGTTCCATTTGAATTGGGACGTAACAGATCTATTAGCACTGAGTCCCAGGTACTCAGTAAAGTTAGGGAAAATCGCTAACACTGAATATGTAAAGTCTGTATGGGATCTCAAACATGCACCACAGTCTGTGGTCCTGTTTCTGTGCTCCAATATGTTAAACATGCTGAAACCAATAAAAATATTAATATTAAATTTAATATTCATCACTGTTGCACAATTTTTTAATATGTTTTCATCAGGGTGCCATATGAAAACAGCTTACTGCAATGAAGGCACTATTTGAAACATTATCAAAACATAACTGTCAAATATATCGCAAAAGCATGCAGAAAGCATAACAAAATTCTTTATGCAAACAACAATTTTAGAACGAAACGCAGAATAACTAAAAGATTTATTTTTATGCAAAAAAAGTGCTTATTCCCTTTTCCTCATGAATTGACATTCAATTTCTGCAAAAGCTTGACAGTCATAGTTAAAACCCTAAAATACTGGCCCTGTGAGCTTAGGTTTTGTTTACTTCAGAGCTCTACTATTGACAGCCCCTGTAGTTGCACCTGTCAAAATATCCCGCGAAAAGCATGAGAAACCAATTTCTTTATACAAAAAACAAATACATGCAAAACATGAATTTTGAAATATTTTAGATCTACTTGATTAATTTTTAAAGTGGTGAATCCTCATTGGACTCGAGCAAATCATTTTCAGTTTTCTTTTATTGACATGTAGTTTCAAAATTTCGACTGCAAGACCGACCTTCTTTATAATCTGATATTACATAGATGTCTGTCTTTTGTGAAGGGTGACCATAGTCTATAAAATTAAAAGCCCTAAAGCGTACAATTTGTTGGGCTAAAAAATGAACAATGTCATTTTAATTCATACATACCGATAAAAGCACGTTTAATTGAATCAATTATTCATATCAAATGTCTTGACGAATGTTGTATGTTTTTGTTTTAGTGAGGTATCACATCAATATTTTGAGGTGGGAAAATGGTAACTAAAGTGGTACGAATTGTTGCAGAACGAATCGTCAAAGAGGTGAATCGTCAGTGGGGCGAATAGTAATCAATATTTAGTAATAAACTATTACTTGTAAGTCTATGCGTTAAATGTATTCAATGAATCATATATTATAAATAAGCTGTACAGTGTCATGAAGGATTGATTTTGTTTCCTTACCTTTGCCAGCCAGTTGACATGTCAATGTTGTCAAGCGTTTGAAAGTTCGAGATTAAAAAGTATTTGAAGAGTGATCTCCCTTACAACATGTCTGCGCCCATGAATCTCGAAAAAGTTTTTGTCCGGGAAATTGAAAGAAACGACACAAAAGTCCTGCAGATAAACCAGTGCGAGGTTGGAGATGTCGGTTGTGTTGTATGGGATGCGGCTATAGTTCTTGCTAAATATCTCGAGTCTGAAGACTTTCACAAGGGCAAAGATCTGATGGATAAAAATGTTATGGAGATAGGAGCAGGCACAGGCGTGGTCGGACTTATGGCTGCCAGCTATGGGTAAATTAAAAAGAAAGTGATATATATTTCTTCAATAGCAAGAGCTTAGATCTTTAGTAAGATATTTAAAGGTGTATTTCAAGTCCATGAAAATGGGGTATTGATATCTACGGGGAACAACTCTGTATGGTATAAAAAATGTTTATATAGCGAATTTAGTCAGGTATAAATATTATTATGTTAATATACGTAATTTGGTTTTAATCGATATGATTTATTTTTATAATGAGATTTAAAAATAAAATTGAAACCACAATTAATTTTAAGAGTAATTAACTAATTTAACTTGTTTATTTGTTTAATTATTCATTTCTGACTGTGTGAGTACAGTACTGAGTAGATACAAGTAAAACTTTTGCCATTTACTATTGCTTTGATATTATTTTAGTGTTAATTCGTTCATTTACTTTTGTATTGTAATTTTTATGCCTAATACTACTCTGTGTTTCATAGAAATTACATGGAAATATACTGTATATTTCAATGTTATGTCATCCCACAAAATGTATATTAAAGTGGTATGTAACCTCCAAAAATGGTAATAACCTAACTGGTATGTTTCCCTTAGGCCTTATGGTGCATAACCTACAGTTATCAGTTTCATTATATGAATTTGCATTAGGTATAAATGAACAGATATATTCCTAATATGAAATTAGGCAAAGCCTATGAACGGGGAAGTCGTTAAAAAATTCCTTTCTTTCTTTCCGTTTTAAAATTGTCATTCGGTATTACATGCACCGCTTCCGTTTTCACTCGGAACACTCGACGTTTATTATTTATCCGAAAAGTTGAGATTTGTTCCGTTATCGGAATACCCCGCCTTTAAGTTTTATCATTGAGTTACATTGTAAATGGCGGCGCCAGACTAGAACTGACACTGAAAATTTCATTGATAGGTATAGAATTCTATATATTTTTTAATTGTTTTTTATTTGATTTTCTTTTAAATATACACGTGTAGTCTATAGCCGGGCAAGCCAAAGCCCGGACCCGCTTTGCGGGCCCGGTCTTTGACTTCCCCGTATTACCAAATTTTGTTCTTATATATGATTTAAGGTTATTGTGATTATTATTAGCTGGATTATTGGTGTCACGCTTTGGTTAAGTTGTTGTGAGAATGTTGGTATCTTAAAATATGGGAATGGGTTTAAACTTCACACACTTATTTGAGAGCGTAATAGGTTGCTACCCAAGGTCCATAACTCTAGTCGAACTCTATCATGAATTTTTGACAGAGTTATGGCCCTTTTTGAACTTAGAAATTTCTACATTATCCAGGCTTTTGTTTTACTTTGAAGCACTGAGGATAGTTAAGTGCACTGTCCTACTGACAGCTTTTGTTTACAGTAAATTAATAGTTGTTTTTCTAAATAATTTTAGAGCAAAAGTGTCAATAACAGATCTAGACCAGTTCGTCCCCTTGATGCAGCTAAATATAGACACAAACAAACAGCTGTTCCAGCATCCAGTACAAGCTAAGGAACTTGTTTGGGGATCTGAAGTGAAGACAGAGTACCCCAATGTGGACATATTACTTTTAGCAGACTGTATATACTATGAGGAGGTAAAACATTTAACCTGGTGAATTTGTGATTTAAATGATTAAAGTTGGTAAATTCCATTTTACTTTTTAGGGTATTTTGAATGTCAAAATATAAGAATTGGGCTTCAAACAGTATAGAGCCTGATCAGATGTTTTGCTTAGATGTGCAGGCTTGCCTGGTTCTATCCTGGTGGAAAATGCTTCCAGAAGGCAAATGGTTAGCAGATCCATCAGGCATAAATAACAGTTTTTTGACCAATTCATTTACTAGTCTACATACTTGATATCTGTCATCTTTTATTAAAGACAGGATTTGAAATTTGCAAGGTATAATTAGAAATAGGATCTTTTACAATTTTTGCAGAAAAATCACCAATGAATAATAATAAGGAATAATCTCAACAACGAATATATCAGCATTGTGTTGTATCTTAGTTGCGGATATTTTTGACACATGTAAAATATAAAGTAATAAATTAAAAAAATGTAAAAATAGTATTTACACTAAGCTCTGTGGGGCATAGGTGTAACTTAGGATATTAAAACAATTAAAGAGCTATTTAATACTGGTAAATTATCTTGACAGTTTATTAGGTCTACCTTTGTCTACCTATGTATTCTTCATAAATACAAATAGAAGATATATTCTAGCTCTGCTTTTAGTTTCTTACTTATCTTTATATCTACAAACTTGATAATATCCCCTATCATGCTACATATCTTAAATGGACTTGTCTGTCTTTCAAACTGGACTAAACCATTCATCATTTTGGGGATAAAAAATTAATAAAGAGAACCATGCAGACCATGACATGTTGTATTGGCAGAATCAGTTGCCTCCAGCAGGTGAAGGGTTAAACTAAATTGAGCCGTGTCATGACAAAACCAACATAATGGGTTTGCGACCAGCATGGATCCAGACCAGCCTGCGCATCAGCACAGTCTGATCAGGATCTGTGCTGTTCGCTATCAGTTTCTCTACTTTTTATAGGGTTTGTAAGCGAACAGCATGTATCCTGATCAGACTGTGCGGATGAGCAGGCTGGTCTGGATCCATGCTGGTCGCAAACCCACTATGTTGGTTTTGTCGTGACACTGCTCAATTATAATATTCTATTTTTCAGTCTCTAGAACCTCTGGTTAAGACCATGGATGATCTGTGCGGCTCTGATACATGTATATATTGCTGTTATGAGGAAAGGACAACCGATAACAAACCTGCATTACAGAGAAAATTTCTACATGTAAGATTATACTTATGTACCTTTGTTCAGAGTATATTACGATTTTCTGTGTAGTCGGAAGTAAGTAATTAATTAAAGTCTTTATTTATCAAGGCTACATTTGTTTCCCAATCTTCTGTGTGGAAGGTTTGTAAGGTGTCTGAAGGTTTGTAAAGTGATTTGTCAAATGTAAACCTCTTCATTCTTTCCCCCAAATGACCTGAAAACCCCCTTATATACTCAATTTTTGATAGCATCATTGAAAATATAAATATTTTTTCTGTTTCTTAGTTGAAATACATTGTTTTTCAAATATCAGTAGGTCAGTTTGTAAGTACACAAAGGTCATTTGGTAAACAACAATCTCTATTTAAAATACACTAAACATTCTTCAGATGTACAGAAATAAAACAGAATCTTTTTTATTAATATTATTCTAAACCCCTGACAGAAACATCTTATCAAAATTGGTAGAAAGTGTACAGAGTTCTGTGGCCAGGTACATCTGTACCTGTGAACATCTGTAAATCTGTAACAGCTATAATTCACCAATATGTTACAATAACTTTATGTAATCAAAGAAGGGTTAACTAATATTTCTGTTCCAAATTCAGCATCAAGTAGTCTCTGTACGTGGATCATAGTCCCTTAAATTTCAAGGTATATCCAGTCTTGTATCCAGTATCATATCCAATCTAGTATGTCTCAGCCTTAATATCTTAATAGAACATGTTAACTACATGTATTGATAAATAATCTCAATACTTCTATTTGTGATATTTATACTGTACTATGATTTAACTTGTGCAGCTCTTTGTTATATAATTTAGACTCACACTGTTTCTACTTGTGTCCCTCCTCCCCTCCAATGGAGTCATCATCTTCATTGATTGTGATATAATCATCTGATTTGACATAAAGATTGTGAAAACTCCAGTCACTTCACCTTCATAATAATTTACAGCATAATTACATGTATGTATTTCAAGTACTTTTTATCGCCTTTTTGATGAGCAGTGGGCGGTTGTCCTACTTGCCAAATTTTGCAGATGCTATAGCCTAAGTTGACATTTTTGTTCCCTATGCTACATGTATCTCTTTTTTGTATATTTATTACCAAAGACCTTATGCATGTTATACTGAAAAATGCTTCTACTTAATAAAAAATTGTTGTTTTTTTTTAGTGAAAGGAATATTAAACTTCAGAATAAAATTGTCTTCAACAAATATCCCATATTCAGGATTGCTTTCATTTATAAGGCCATGGGTCAAAGATTAAAGTTAAAATATCACTATGAATACCTATAGAATATGGTTGTATTTAAGATCCTATTTTTGTTTCAGATGGTTGGGAAGTTGTTCCAAATAGAAAAGATACCATTGCACAGACAAGACAGTCAGTTTTGTAGTGAAGATATTCATATACTCAAATTGAAAAGATTAAAAGTTTCCTGAAGTATTTAATGTGTTCTTATTGTTGATTTTTAGCTCACCTGTCACAAAGTGACAGGATGAACTTTTGTGATCGCTTTTCGTCCGGCGTCCGGCCATCTGTCCGTCCGAGCAAACATTTGATTATTATGAGCTTCATTCCGTAGTTAAATAAAGAACAAAAACTCATAAAATTCAAATTAAGAGCTATTTTTTTGTTTTTATGAGCTTATTTTGCTTATGGACGTTGGTCCAGGTGGTGTTTATGAGCTGATTTGCCTCATAAACATCAAAAGTTGGTATGTCCGTCCATCGTCCGTCCGTAAACTTTTGCTTCAAATGATATCTCCTCATAAACCACTAAGCCAATTTCATCCAAACTTCACAGGAATGTTGGTGGTCACCTTTAAAAATTGTTCAAAGAATTTAATTCCATGCAGAACTCTGGTTGCCATGGCAACCGAAAGAAAAATCTTTAAATATCTTCTTTTAAAAAACCCATAGAGCTAGAGCTTAGATATTTGGCATGAAACATCTTCTAGTAATTGTCTACCAAGTTTGTTCAAATAAAAGCTCTGGGGTCAAAATTGGCCCCGCCCCAGGGGGTCATTGATTTTCCCTATATACATATAGTAAAAACTTAAAAATTCTTCTTTTAAAGAATCCAAAGAGCTAGAGCTAAGATTTTTAGCATGAAACATCATCTAGTAAGTGTCTACCAAGTTTGTTCAAATAAAAGCCCTTGGGTCAAAATTGGCCCCGCCCCAGGGGGTCATTGATTTTCCCTATATGCATATAGTAAAAACTCAAAAAATCTTCTTTTAAAGAACCCATAGAGCTAGAGCTAAGATATCTAGCATGAAACATCTTCTAATAAGTGTCTACCAAGTTTGTTCAAATAAAAGCCCTTGGGTCAAAATTGGCCCCGCCCCAGGGAGTCATTGATTTTCCCTATATGCATATAGTAAAAACTTAAAAAATCTTCTTTTAAAGAACCCATAGAGCTAGAGCTAAGATATTTAGCATGAAACATCTTCTAATAAGTGTCTACCAACTTTGTTCAAATAAAAGCCCTAGGGTCAAAAATTGGCCCCGCCCCAGGGGGTCATTGATTTTCCCTATATGCATATAGTAAAAACTTAAAAAATCTTCTTTTAAAGAACCCAAAGAGCTAGAGACTAAGATATTTAGCATTAAACATGTGCTAATGGGTGTCTACAAAGTTTGTTCAAGTAAAAAGCCCTGGGTCAAAAATTGGCCCCCCC